AAGACATACCACCACGGATAAAATTGATATGCTCCATCCAATAACTCAGTTAGCTAAGGTTATGTAGTTGTGTGATTCTCCGTCATCTCCCTTTCATTTAGCCTACAATATTTTTTAAATAAGTCTAATCAACTATTCACAAACTGAAATTAACCCAATACTCGCAAACACATGCCTCATAGTAGCTTAACCAGCTAGGCTACTTAAAACGAATACCTGGACAGTGAAAATGGAAGTTGACAAAGCGTTTGGCTAACGATAACCTCATTCCAGTGAGCAGATTCTCTCCTGACTGTCTGTTGGAAAATACCTGCTTGTCTGATCTTGCCGTAAAACGCATGGCTCTGCAATAACCCCGTCTATTGTACACATTTCATATATTCTTTGCGAAATATCTGGAACTTCCTCGTCCTCTTTTTTGCTGTTCCTTGGCAGCTTTCACATCACCACGTTTTTGATTCCCAAGTCTACAGCCACGAAGTAGAAAGCAGCAGCATCAGTACCAGTTTTACCCATAGAGAATAATAGAGGCCTCTAGTGGCTAAAAGGCCTCATTAGCATGAGCATGGGCAGCGCCGTTGAAGGCTTCCACCATTTTAATGTAGTCAACTGGGTGGGACTTCCAACTTCATTGGCTGATCCTTCCTGGTGACCCTGTTGGAGTCATGTCCAACTGGGTCATCAGGCAGGATCAGCCAATCGGGAAGAAGAAAAATGACTACTTCAAAGTGGAGATTCCCTCAATGGCGCTGCCCATGCTGTCACAGACACTATAACCGCACATATACAAAAATGAGTCCTCTATCTATCTCTATGGTTTTACCTTAGCAATGGAGAGGTTGGTTACTAGCTACACTTGATTGACAAAACTTTACATCCAATGGCATGTCGAGGTTTTTTTGTCCACGCTCGGGTTTACTAGCCTCTGCCGAGTCCCCAACAATCAGATGTGCCGGTTTCAGGTGAGACTGAAAGTGTCCGTGCTCCTTTCTCATATATCGTTGCCTGTGCTATTCAGGTTCCTTGGGACGTCCATACCCTATTGAAGTAGAAGTTTAAAATGGTTAAGGTAGGGTTATGATTAGGTAAGGGTTAGGGTCTGTGAGTATGGACGTCCCAAGGATTCTGGATAGTACTGACCAAATGGAAAGAGAGCCTGTGATGCCACTTCCGCTTTTGGAAGTTAACCTGGGCTGTGTTCAGTACGTTATACGTTCTGGAACGTTCAATTGAACGGAAACAGTGCTGTTGAAAAACGGGGAGGGGTTGGGTTGTGGGTTGGGGAACGCGGTCAGCATGGCCACTGGCTTTTAAATACGTCACTCATAGAGCTTGCCAGCTTGAAGTCCTAAAACCCGGAAATGAGTAACCTCTGGTTCGTTTAGCCATCCCTATGGGAAAAATGAATGGGGAAAGAATAGGGTTTTGGAATAAACTCAGAAAATAAGTTCTGAGGTTAACACAGGCTTAGGAGAGTTTATACGGTTTGTTCTATGAGTTAATAGCACTCAGTTAACATTACCTTTATGAATTATAAAGCCTTTATGTGCTTTATGTGATTTTTTAAATAACATACAGTTGAAGTCGGAAGTTTACATACACCTTAGCCAAATATATTTAAACTCTGTTTTTCACAATTCCTGACATTTAATCCTAGTAAAAATTCCCTGTCTTAGGTCAGTTGTGATAACCACTTCATTTTAAGAATGTGCAATGTCAGAATAATAGTAGAGATAATTATTTATTTCAGCTTTTATTTCTTTCATCACATTCCCAGTGGGTCAGAAGTTTACATACATTCAATTAGTATTTGGGAGCATTGCCTTTAAATTGTTTAACTTGGGTCAAACGTTTCGGGTAGCCTTCCACAAGCTTCCCACAATAAGTTGTGTGAATTTTGGCCCATTCCTCCTGACAGAGCTGGTGTAACTGAATCAGGTTTGTAGGCCTCCTTGCTCGCACATGCTTTTTCAGTTCTGCCCACAGATTTTCTATAGGATTGAGGTCAGGGCTTTGTGATGGCCACTCCAATACCTTGACTTTGTTGTCCTTAAGCCATTTTGCCACAACTTTGGAAGTATGCTTGGGGTCATTGTCCATTTGGAAGACCCATTTGTGACCAAGCTTTAACTTCCTGACTGATGTCTTGAGATGTTGCTTCAATATATCCACATAATTTTCCTTCCTCATGATGCCATCTATTTTGTGAAGTGCACCAGTCCCTCCTGCAGCAAAGCACCCCCACAGTATGATGCTGCCATCCCTGTGCTTCACGGTTGGGATGGTGTTCTTCGGCTTGCAAGCGTTCCCCTTTTTCCTCCAAACATAACGATGGTCATTATGGCCAAACAGTTCTATTTTCGTTTCATCAGACCAGAGGACATTTCTCCAAAAAGTACGATCTTTGTCCCAATGTGCAGTTGCAAACCGTAGTCTGGCTTTTTTATGGCGGTTTTGGAGCAGTGGCTTCTTCCTTGCTGAGCGGCCTTTTTTCCCCAAGCTGTTAAAAGGCACAGTCAACTTAGTGTATGTAAACTTCTGACCCACTGGAATTGTGATACTGTGAATTATAAGTGAAATAATCTGTCTGTAAACAATTGTTGGAAAACTTACTTGTGTCATGCACAAAGTAGATGTCCTGACCGACTTGCCCAAACTATAGTTTGTTAACAAGAAATTTGTGGAGTGGTTGAAAAACAAGTTATAATGACTCCAACCTAAATGTATATAAACTTCCGACTTCAACTGTTTATTCTTCAAAATTCACAAAAAGTAACGTTTATAGCTGATGAAAATTATCTCATTGAACAAAATGTATAAGATCTCCTAAACCTGTGTTTACCACAGACCTTATTTTCGACATTTATCCAAAAACACTACCAAAAAAACCATTCATTTTTATCACAGGCTTTGTGCAACAAACCATGGCGCAGTTAGTGCCTACAAAAATACGCCATTACTATCTCTCTCTTGCTTCAAGCCACACCCACTAAACAGGAGCTCAGTCTATTCAAAAACCTTTGGGGAAACTTGTCAGTACAAACTGTTCTGCAATGTAGCAAATGTTCAAGGGAACTGAACGCACCTCAGTATGTAGCGGACCGAGTTTTAGGCATTTATTTTGTCCTAATGCCGCGTTCATAACAACAGGGGACTCTGAAAAATACAAGGTCAAATCATGACATAAATTATCTTCAGTTCAGTAAGTCGGAGCTCTAGAAAGAGGCCGGAGTTCCCGAGTTGGAATTCCAAGTTGGATGACCGTTCAAATCGATTTTTCCTAGTAGGAGCTAGTTTTTTTCTGAATTCCCAGTTGTTTTGAACGCATTGAAGTCGGAAGTCTGAGATTTCCGAGTTCCCAGTTCCGAGTTGTTTTGAATGCTGCATAACCTAACGTAGTAGGAGTAAAAAAATGTCTGACCGGAGTTCCTACTTCCGTTTTTCATGGGAAAGGAAGTCAGGTTAAAAAAAAACAGTATTAAAGAGTTTTATAACTAAACCAAGATAGACCACAGCCTGTCGTTTCCAATGGGAACAAATGTGTCATAGTGGGCAGAACAAGCAAGGAGGTGTGGGCAGAGCCAAGCATAACCTATCGAGATCCTTCTTCTTCTTCTTCTGTGGATTTTATATGGCGGTTGGCAACCAACTTTAAGGTGCATTACCTCCACCAGCTGGACTGGAGTGTGGACCAGAGACAATGACAGTCTAAATCCTACCCAATAATCTCGTCTCCCTAAGGAAACGAAATACATAATTAAATACTACATCCCCTGAAGATTTCCCCAGCAGTTCACTTAATCCTGGCTCTTCAACCCCATTACTCCTCAAATCTAATAACATTCGCTCCCTTTCGCTCACTTATTTCTGGCACTGAAATAGAACATGTTCCACTGCCTCCATCTCCTCCTGACAATGATCACACCTCCCAGTCGGATATTTCCCCACCACTTTCAATGTACTATTTAGCCTTGTGTGTCCCAGTCTCAGCCTTGTGATTACACTTTCCTCCCTTCTCTCTCAGCCTGAGGACCTTCCTGCCCCCACTTTTTCCTGGATCTTATACAGGTGTCTTCCCTTACACTCCCTGTTCCACAACTCTTGCCACTTATTTTTAACCACTGTTCTTATTAATCCCTTGGCTTCTGCTTTACTGATTGATATTTCCATCTCAACATTAGGATGTTTAAGAGCCTGTTTGGCAATAATATCCACTTCCTCATTCCCCTCTACTCCCACATGAGCTGGTACCCAGAGGAACATCACAAATACCCCCATCTGTTTCACCCTAAACAAACACTGCAAAACCTCATACAATACATCCTGTCTGCTCTGAGACACACATGAATTTAAACTCATCAGTGCTGCACAGGAGTCAGAGCAGATTAGCGAGATCCTATTGGCGCGTTCTAGCATACATCTGCACATTTCCGTTAGGGAACGCTTACTATGTGAAGCGCATGTGTGCAATAACTCAATACGCGAGTTTAAAAAACGTTTGCAAAGAGTAAAGTCTACAAAACTTTGTCCACTCTGTTCATAACATATTCTAGTTTTGGGAACAGAAAACTGTATTGAGATTACATCTTTCATCGATGAGAAAATGTGCAGAATGTCGGCCAAAATCCATCTCGTTCCATCTTCTCCCACTGCTATAATTTGTTGTGAAAGGTTCAGAGGTCACTCTGGTGCACGTGGTTTAAAATGGCTGCGCCCTTCCTCAAAATAATGTATTTACAGCACATAGATTAGAGCTGAGACATCGCCATGGTAACGGATAGTACAGCAATACATTTGACTGGTGTTATTGCAGTCTGATCGTGCTTAATAGCGTATGCTCACTGAACTAGGCTATTTGGACGGGATTTTATTAAATTGAATGTTAGCTATCTGATTCACTCTTATCGAACGTATCGCATACACGTTCACTCAGCCTTGCCAATGCTAGCCCTACGTTATTGGTGGACACTGACATTACATTGCAGGGCATCTTGCTGAAGATGTCAGAAAACAGCAGTGTCGTACAGAAAGACACCGGCCGCACAGTCCCCAGAGCTGTGATCGTTCAAATGATAGCGGAAAGATTTGAACGTCTGCCTGAACTTGACAGGTACGTTTTTGTATATGCCTAGACATGGGTTAATTGCCTTGACAGCCCTACTCGTAATTGACAGCCTATATCATGTTGCTCTCATCATAACATATAACTGTTGTTCTACATGAAAATCTTCACCTATGGCCCCATGTAAATGGGAGGGAATGGGGCATTAGCAGGACGTATTGCCAACAGCGTATACAGGAGAGCGCTGAATGTCACTCAAGGGCGTTTTACATCAAATCTCGCAATGGCTGTCCTACCGTTCTTGACAACAGTGGCCATGTACAGTCGTGGTCAAAGGTTTTGAGAATGACAAGTATTGGTCTTCACAAAGTTCACTGCTTCAGTGTTATGAGATATTTTTGTCAGATGTTACTATGGTATACTGAAGTATAAATACAAGCATTCCATAAGTGTCAAAGGCTTTTATTGACAATCAGGGACGGCTTGTTCAATAGGGCGATATGGGCGACGCACTGCCAAACGGGAAAAGGAAGGGATTTTTTTTCTAATCAATTATAAAAAATAAAAAATATTTTTATTTTTATTTTTATAAATTTATAAAAAATTATATCACGGCAACAGCAGTTATCAGTGTTCACGTCTGATCTGACAGCCACTAAATGTCAAATCAGGCTAAAGTCGTGCTTCAAATGGCCCCGCCCGTTTTTTGGGCGATTTCAGTCAGGTTGAAAATCGCCCAGAAGTCTCTCATAGCCTGTCATGTAAAATCTATTTTTTTCACATTTCAAAGCTTTCAATACATTCTCTATGGGTGTCTGTGGGCTTGCACTTACGCGCTTTCGTCATACATAACGTAACCACGAATGAACGTAACTAAGAAAAGACCAGGTAGCAGCCTCAATCAATTCACTACTACTATCAAAATGGCTAGGCTTCAGTCCAACTCGATTGTGTCTTTGAAAGAACTTCCTTTTTGTCGGCGAACAAATTAAGATAAATTGGCAACGAAACAATTAGGACCTCCCAGACCAAATTTAATAATTCAACAGGTTTCTACTAAAGGCGGAAAGTCCTACACCCGAGGATTTTCCAAAAATTGGTACGAACGAAAAAAGACATTGCCACTCACTCAACTGGATGACGAGGGATACAGGCTAGCTGTCCGCCGCCACAACGATGAGGTTAGTGTTGATAATCACAAGTTTACTGGATGTGGATATGGTGTAATAAAGGCAGTTTATTCAGAGGTAAATATATCTGGAATCGCGTTCACGGACCCGTTCGTCAAACTCTTAGGGAGCTATACATTAAGCCCCATTACTTACCATATCAGATAAGAGAAATTGCTGCAGCTACATATATTTTACATCCTGGCCCTACATAGTTCACTATTTGCATCACTTACCAAAATATTACATGTGGTCATATATGCTTGGAAAGTGGAGATGCCATAGAACGTCAAAAAAGTAAACATTGCTGGAGACACATTGTCGTTTTGGAGAAGACATCGCGTTTGCTAGCGAAGAGATTTGTTGTGGCAAATGAACTTGGCCTGGGAATTGCCAGGAACCTCACGATAAGATATATGCATCAGCATTGCGAGTCTCATGATTCTATACGTATTGCGATTCGATACTGTGATTTTATTGCGCACCATATGTCTGTTGCAGAGGGATCAGAAAGCCATGAGAACGAGTTTTGATCAGTCATGGAAATAAAAGTGCTGAAAATAATTGGCTCCCAATGTGAAAAGATTGAGAACAAGCTATGAAGGAACAATAATGGTGTTTTGGTGCAGGTACAGCCAACTAGCGCTAAAATATTGCGATATTGTCAATACAGTATATCGTAAAGTATCACTATGTAACTCGATTTCTTTCACCCCAATCCCTCAAATTAACGGTAAATAACTGAATTGTTTGCCCCACATTTAGCTAAGATGATTAGCTAGCCAGCTAAAATGTTTTATTTAGTTAGCAGTCGCATCTACAATAGTTTACTGTCAATAACATGTCTCCAAAAATGACGTGGTGTCTCCAATTGTGTTGACATTTTACAATTGCAATGCGCATCCATGAGTATCCACTTTCTGTAGCTCAGCTGGTAGAGCATGGTGCTTGTAACGCCAAGGTAGTGGGTTCGATCCCCGGGACCACCCATACGTAAAAATGTATGCACGCATGACTGTAAGTCGCTTTGGATAAAAGCGTCTGCTAAATGGCATATTATTATTATTATTATTATTATCTGAAGAGAGCCCCGAAACATTGTGTGCAGACATTTTATGCAATAAATGAAGTAGGTTCAATCTAGTAGTTCTGATCTTCTGATTGGTCCTGATGAGTTGGGCGAGGTCACCTCCAGGCTACTGTCACTGTTGCATTGGCTCTGAGTCGGGTTCTCTGTCTTCAAATGTTCAGCCTAAGAGAGGGGATTTTTGTGTGTGTGTGTGTGTGTGTGTGTTTAACAGTGATGATGTGTGTGTGTGTGTGTGTGTGTTTAACAGTGATGATGTGTGTGTGTGTGTGTGTGTGTTTGTGTGTGTGTGTGTGTCCTCAGAGCAAGAACTCGTGAGTTGGAAGAACTGAGAGGCCTATGGCGTGGGTGTTGTCCTTGGCCACCTGCTGACAAGGCTGACAAGATAGGACCCTTTTGTCCATTGTTATTGGATAGGAACAGAACTTATAACCAGCTCCTGACCTAAATAGATCTTAGCACAACATTTTACTCAACATATCATATTCCATATTCACTATAACAAATATATTTACTACGACATTAGCAAGAACCGCCACATCCTCAGCCGGCTAATCCAGTGTGTGAAGTTTTGCGGAGTGTTTGAGTTAGCTTTGCGAGGCAAAGATGAAACTGAGGGCTCCACCAACCCTGGTAAGCCAACACTTTTGAGATCAGTCAATAAATGCTTCTGGTATTGACTTATATGCTGCCCCTGTCTTCATGTTGTTGCTGGACATATCTTTTTTTTTAATGTGTGTAGGTCACCTAAATCATCAGAAAAATTGCCCCTCCTGAGAATTTTTTCAGGAGCCGCCACTGTTGACAATTACATTAGGTTTATGCAAAGAGTCAATATTTGTAGTGTTGACCCTTCTTTTTCAAGACCTCTGCAATCCACCCTGTCATGCTGTCATTTAACTTCTGGGCCACATCCTGACTGATGGCAGCCCATTCTTGCATAATCAATGCTTGGAGTTTGTCAGAAGTTGTGGGGTTTTGTTTGTCCACCCGCCTCTTGAGGAGCGACCACAAGTTCTCAATGGGATTAAGGTCTGGGGAGTTTCCTGGCCATGGACCAACATTTTCGATGTTTTGTTCCCCGAGCAACTTAGTTATCACTTTTGCCTTATGGCAAGGTGCTCCATCATGCTGGAAAAGGCATTGGTCGTCACCAAACTGTTCTTGGATGGTTGGGAGAAGTTGCTCTATGAGGATGTGTTGGTACCATTCTTTATTCATGGCTGTGTTCTTAGGCAAAATTGTGAGTGAGCCCAATCCCTTGGCTAAGAAGCAACCCCACACATGAATGGTCTCAGGATGCTTTACTGTTGGCATGATACAGGACTGATGGTAGCGCTCACCATGTCTTCTCCGGACAAGGTGTTTTCCGGATGCCCCAAACAATCGGAAAGGGGATTCATCAGAGAAAATGACTTTACCCCAGTCCTATGCAGTCCAATCCCTGTACCTGTAGGTGGTCCTCTGTAGCTCAATTGGTAGAGCACGGCGCTTGTAACGCCAGGGTAGTGGGTTCAATCCCCGGGACCACCCATACACAAAAATGTATGCACGCATGACTGTAAGTCGCTTTGGATAAAAGCGTCTGCTAAATGGCATATTATTATTATTATTATTATTACCTTTTGCAGAATATCAGTCTGTCCCTGATGTTTTTCCTGGAGGGAAGTGGCTTCTTTGCTGCCTTTCTTGACACCAGGCCATCCTCCAAAAGTCTTCGCCTCACTGTGCGTGCAGATGCACTCACACCTGCCTGCTGCCATTCCTGAGCAAGCTCTGCACTGGTGGTGCCCCGATCCCACAGCTGAATCAACTTTAGGAGACGGTCCTGGTGCTTGCTGGACTTTCTTGGGCGCCCTGATGCCTTCTTCACAACAATTGAACCTCTCTCCTTGAAGTTCTTGATGATCCGATAAATGGTTGATTTAGGTGCAATCATACTAGCAGCAATATCCTTGCCTGTGAAGCCCTTTTTGTGCAAAGCAATGATGATGGCACGTGTTTCCTTGCAGGTAACCATGGTTAACAGGGGAAGAACAATGATTTCAAGCACCACCCTCCTTTTAAAGCTTCCAGTCTGTTATTCTAACTCAATCAGCATGACAGAGTGGTCTCCAGCCTTGTCCTCGTCAACACTCTCACCTGTGTTAACGAGAGAATCACTGACATGATGGCAGCTGGTGATTTTGTGGCAGGGCTGAAATGTTTTTTGGGGATTAAGTTCATTTTCATGGCAAAGAGGACTTTGCAATTAATTGCAATTCATCTGATCACTCTTCATGACATTCTGGAGTATATGCAAATTGCCATCATCAAAACTGAGGCAGCAGACTTTGAAAATTAGTATTTGCGTCATTCTCAAAACTTTTGACCACGACTGTATAAATGTAGCTGTCTCCAAACAATTATTGTCTGGTGAGTGTCAGTGTTTCTATTGCAATTAAGTATTTTCTACAATATTTTTATGGCTTCTGAATTGAATCTGAAACAGACATCTTAAACTCATTCAGGTGACCTTAATTGCCCAACCTGTGTCCTGATAAGAGGTGCACTTGTCAGTGCAGTTGGTGCTGGCGTATACCCTATTCTGTTGGCTTTGCCTGTGAATGCAGGCCTTGCTACCAGGTATGTGCAACTGTCTTTCCAGGAGTAGGGTGAAGTTGCCCCTAGACTTAGGCCAAGGCTGGCAGATGGCGATATCGAGTCGTTTTCATCTTACGGTCCAAACGCATTGTATGCAGCTGGCAATACATTCGTATCTCGTGGACCGGTACCTAAAACATTCTCCATTCAGGCTGCATAGGCTCCGATATCCTCCTTACAGCGGCAATCAGCAGTAGAAACGATTAAACGGCCTCCCCACCATTGGTTCAGTAAAAAGCTGAGAGATGGGGCTGTAGAAAAGTGAATCCCTCAAATTCATAGACAGAGCTAGAGATGCAAGGATTGACCATCCATGATATCAAAATTATAGTTTTAACTATGTTGAGGCTATATAGTTTGTTTACAAACATTGGAGTAAAACAAGCATATATTTTGGGTTCTGATGGGGTATGACAGTTAAACTAAACTCATGAGGCAGTTAATCTTCAAGAATCAATGGGTACAAAAAATGGATGTAGCATTTGCTGATTGCCCCTTTAACTTTAATTTAATGGCGAAAAAAACAATGGAAAATATGGGTACTTATGTAACACCTTGCTAGTGGCTAAATGCTAATCCCGGATGTTGTGTATCACATTCAGCCAATCAGCTTGCCGCAGTCTGTTTTTCAATCATTAGCTAAGGCAGCGCTGTAGCGCATTAGTGGAAACCAATGTTTTTACGTTCTGGAACGTTCAATTGATTGGGAACGGTGCTGTACTGAATGACCAGTTAAAAAACGAGGAGGGGTTGGGTTGTAGGAATGCTGTCAGCGTGGCCACTGCCCTTTAAATATGTCACTCATTGAATCAAGCCACACCTCGCTGAGGGTGAGAGTTGCACCCCTCCTCAAAAAACCTACAGTCGTTCCCCCTGATGTCAACAACTACAGACCAGTATCCCTTCTTTCTTTTCTCTCAAACTCTTGAGCATGCCGTCTCTAGCCAACTCTCCTGCTATCTCTCTCAGAATGACCTTCTTGATCCTAACCAGTCAGGTTTCAAGACTGGTCATTCAACTGAGACTGCTCTTCTCTGTCACGGAGGCTCTCCGCACTGCTAAAGCTAATTCTCTCTCCTCTGCTCTTATCCTTCTAGACCTATCTGCTGCCTTTGATACTGTGAACCATCAGATCCTCCTCTCCACCCTCTCCGAGTTGGGCATCTCCGGCGCTGCTCACTCTTGGATTGTGTCCTACCTGACAGGTCGCTCCTACCAGGTGGCGTGGCGAGAATCTGTCTCCGCACCACATGCTCTCACCACTGGTGTCCCCCAGGGCTCAGTTCTAGGCCCTCTCCTATTCTCTCTATACACCAAGTCACTTGGCTCTGTCATATCCTCACATGGTCTCTCCTATCATTGCTACGCAGACGACGCACAATTAATTTTCTCCTTTCCCCCTTCTGATAACCAGGTGGCGAATCGCATCTCTGCATGTCTGGCAGACATATCAGTGTGGATGTCGGGGAAGGACTGCCCGCTCCATGATCTCGCCATCACGGTTGACAACTCCATTGTGTCCTCCTCCCAGAGTGCAAAGAACCTTGGCGTGACCCTGGACAACACCCTGTCGTTTTCTGCTAACATCAAAGCAGTGACCCGATCCTGCAGGTTCATGCTCTACAACATTCGCAGAGTACGACCCTACCTTACACAGAAAGCGGCACAGGTCCTAATCCAGGCACTTGTCATCTCCTGTCTGGATTACTGCAACTCGCTGGTGGCTGGGCTCCCTGCCTGTGTCATTAAACCCCTACAACTTATCCAGAACGCTGCAGCCCGTCTGGTGTTCAACCTTCCCAAGTTCTCTCACGTCACCCTGCTCCTCCGCACACTCCACTGGCTTCCAGTTGAAGCTCGCATCTAAGACAAAACCATGGTGCTTGCCTACTGAGCTGTGAGGGGAACGGCACTTCCTTACCTTCAGGCTCTGATCAGACCCTACACCCAAACGAGGGCACTACATTCATCCACCTCTGGCCTGCTAGCCCCCCTACCTCTACGGAAGCACAGTTCCCGCTCAGCCCAGTCAAAGCTATTTGTTGCTCTGTCACCCCAATGGTGGAACAAGCTCCCCCACGACCACTGACCACCTTCCGGAGACACTTGAAACCCTACCTCTTTAAGGAATACCTGGAATAGTATAATAGTAATCCTTCTAACCCCCCTTTACTACCACTGTCTTTTGTCTAAACTAACACCTGACTTATTTCACCTGCTAGCACTGACTTGTTTAAAGAAATGTACTTATTGTGATCGAGATGTAGTTGTTCCTGATTGCACTGACTTTGCACACAGCTGCTTGTTTGAAGAAGTGTACTTACTGTGAAAAAAATTCCCCAACGCGACTCAAATATATCTAGCTACAACCAGGCCTGCCCTGAGAACAGTCTTGGTTTCCACTAATGCAGCAGACATTAAAGAAACGGAACCCCTGGTCTGATAGTTTCAACAGGATTGGCTGAACGCTATACACAACATTCGGGATTAGCATTTAGCCACTCAAGCATGGTGGTGGAAAATGGTGTTTCATAAGGAAAGTATGCATATTTCCCGTTTTTTCCCCCCACCGTCTCGCAATTAAATGAAGTTGAAGAAATCAAAGCCTATGGTGCCTGAATGGAGAATGTTTTAGGTACAAACCGTTCCCAGCGTCGTCCGGGTTTGGCCGGTGTAGGCCGTCATTGTAAATAAGAATTTGCTCATTACTGACTTGCCTACTTAAATAAAGGTTAAAAAAATAAGAAAAACGGTCCAGGAGGGATATGACTGTATTGCCGGCTGCATACAATGCGTTTGGATGGTCAAATTAAACCTACTCAATATGCCACCCGCAGGCCTTTGGGCTACCCTTAATGTTTGGATTGTTGGAGGGGAAACATATCCTAGATCTGTAACCAGGGGTTATTCGCGGAGTATCTATCCAACAAAGGTTTCATCAATACGGTATGAAAGTCCCGCCTACTTCCGGGATCATGTCCCAAACTGTTTTTGAATGTCCTTCAAGATCATAACAAATTCATAAAAACGTGGTCATTTCAAGTATTTGTGTATTAATTTACTTCTACCCGATGCCATTCATTAAGGTTTTAGTTTTCATAATCGAAAACCTCCATAGAAGGCATTGAGTAAAGTCATCTACGAATATAATTTTACCTATAGCAAATCAAGGCGTTTTCATGAATTTGATGAAATAATCTTTAAGGCCATTCAGTGTGGGACATGATCCGGGAAGTAGGATGGACTTTTAATACAGTGGCTGACTGAATTTGCATAATTATGCCATTTCTAATTATCTAACAGGTAGAACACTGCACCAATGCCAGAAAAGGGAAACGTCCTCCGTTTTTGGATGAACATTACCCAACACATCCTGAGGAAAATGGGTGTTGTGATTGTGTTACAGGTTCTTTGGCACCTACCTAAGCTCCAGATATTTTGACAGCTACTTGAAGTTGCTTCAATTGTCCACCTCCAGTGATGAGGAGCTTGAGAATTAAAACAGTTTTAAACAAACCTAAATGTGCCATGTTGTATTTTTACAACTAATTGGCCTGTTGACCAATTAAATAAGATCAGAATTGTCTGCCTGTCTAAACAGCCTGTGAATCCGCCTTGATTTTGAAGAACTTGCCTTATATTAATGAGATGCACATCCTCAAACTAATTCCCATTGTTATGCTGTCAATTTACATTAAAAATAAATCCTCCCCTTTTGTCAACATTCTTTGAGCACTACAAATATAATTTAAATCCACAATCACATTTTGCTCTGCCCAGAGTACCCCCTCATGTGCTTTCTACCAGTAGGCCTATGTTCTTACAATTATTTTAAAGTATCCCTTGTGGATAGGTCAAAACTTGTAAAATGCTTCTGCTGTTTCAAGTGGAACCGCAGTAACAGCCATTAAATAACATGCCTAGTTCAATATACGTTATACCTTAATTCTAATGTAAATTAACGCATGCATTTGGTGATTATCAGGTTGTATAACTGTTCTGCATTTTGAAAAAGTTTTTACTTGGCATCACACATTTGTAATCAAATATTTTGAAATGCATTTGTGATGCATGATCCAATGGCAATTTTAGTGATTAGGAAGTTACACCTCTGAATCAGGATCGCAATACATTACATTTTAGTCATTTAGCAGACGCTCTTATCCAGAGCGTCTTACAGTTAGTGAGTGCATACATTCTTTTTACATTTTTCATACTGACATTTTTCATACTGGCCCCCCATGGGAATCGAACCCACAACCTTGGCGCTGCAAACGCCATGCTCTACTAACTGAGCTACATCCCTGCCGGCCATTCCCTCCCCTACCCTGGATGACGCTAGGCCAATTGTGCGCCGCCCCATGGGTCTCCCGGTCGCGGCCGGCTACGAGCCTGGATTCGAACCAGGATCTCTAGTGGCACAGCTAGCACTGCGATGCTAGCTTTGAACACCTTCAAGACTGTTGTAAAAGCATTACAGGTGAAGCTGGTTGAGAGAATGCCAAGAGTGTGCAAAGCTGTCATCAAGGCTATTTGAAGAACCTCAAATATAAAATATATTTTGATTTGTTTAACCCTTTTTTGCTCCTGAACATGATTCCATATGTGTTATTTCATAGTTTTGATGTCTTCACTATTATTCTACAATGTAGAAAATAGTAAAAATAAAGAAAATTCGAACCAGGATCTCTAGTGGCACAGCTAGCACTGCGATGCAGTGCCTTAGACCACTGCGCCACTCGGGAGACACAATACAATAGTTGTTTCTGTTTAAATCCCAGCCTACCTCACAGCTGTGTGTTAAATGCCCATAAACTGAGTGTTCTAAATTGATATCTTTTAAATGGATACTTTGGGATTTTGGCAATGAGGCCTTTTATCTACTTCCCTAGAGTCAAATGAACTTGTGGATACCATTTTCATGTCTTTGTCCAGTATGAAGGAAGTTGGGAGGTAGTTTCACGAGCCAATACAAAACTAGCGTTAGGGCATGCTAGCAGATATCCAATTGCGCTACCGTTAGTTAGAAACTTCCTTCAAACTGCATGCAGAGACAAATTGTATCTACGAGTTCATCTGATTATGGGGAAGTAGATAAAGGCGTAAAATCCTGAAGTATCCCTTTAACAAAGGTCCTCAAAAAAAGCATACAACATACCCTATGTGCATAACACCATCGGGTGCAGAAGAAAAAATGTTGAGTGGCCCGACATGAAAACACAGGTCTGAGTGCCAAATCCTAGGGTAGCACAACTGATAAATAATGCAAATATGATTCAATTTGGATTGTACAGTAAAAATGGCATCAAATTGAGTTATTAATATCAAGCCAGGTAGGCAAGATACTTAATGAGAAACATTTGCTTTGTATAGTGATATGAAAATCTATTATTGATATTGGCTATTGTCATTTACTAGCAGGCCAGGTAATCTAAATATTGGTTGAGGAAACCATTTTACCAGTGTAGAATACATTTTGACAATTTAAGTGCAAAAGAACAGCCTTCAATTATAGTACAGGTCATAGACACCTAGTGCATAACACACACATATTCATGATTCGGCGGCAGGTAGCCTAGCGGTTAAGAGCGTTGGGCCAGTAACCGAAAGGTTGCTGGTTCGAATCCACAAGCATACTTCCTTAAAAATCGGTTGTGTCCTTGAGCAAGGCACTTTACCCCAATTGCTCCTGTAAATCGCACTAGAGTCTGCTAAATTAATCAAATGTAAATTATTCCTTTCCCTGACAGTGGTCTATAGGCCAGGAGACTAAATACAATTTGGACTTCTTTAAACAGCCACTCACTGCTAACCAAAAATCAATGGGAGTGATGAAGGCAACCATTAAGTGTTCACTTTTGGCTAAATCACCTTTTGATTTCAAATCAAGTAATTGATTTCAGTTTATTTGACCATGACTTTTTTAATATTGGACAGTTACCCCCATCACTCCCATTGACCTTTGGTTAGCAGTGGCTAAAGTTGGCTGGAGTTCGAAGTGGCTGTTTTAAGAAATCCAAAGTGCAGTCAACTGGCTCATGGTCTACTTTCAGTGCAATAAACTATTTAGCTTCAAAATATGGTTAAAGGTATCACGTGGACAGTCAGTACATACATCCTATGAATTTTGAGTGGTTACATTTCTCCAGCCCTGTGATCCTATAGCTTTGTAGCAAAACAAGTGCCGGGGCTGCTGAATGAATCAAGTATCGTGCCTTTAGGGTAAGTTTGGTATTTAAGACCTTTAAAGAATGTCTCTGTTTATATACACTATAACTGTAAACAATGGATTAGAAAAAAAGTTTTTGGTTATGATGGTTTCAACGGTGTCTATTTGGTGTCCTTGAAAATCATGTACACCTCAGGTAAACAGCAATGTGCATCAGCCTAAAATGCTCTCAATGTCTGTTAACAGGCTCTCAAATCCCTTTACGGTTTCGTATGTCCAATATATGACAAAATTTCCACATTTGTCATAAAAAAAAAAAAACTGTTTAGTACAGTGTATGCCCAAATAAGTAGCCTTGCATGCCTTGTTATGACCTGTGAATTTTGGCCACCTACCTACCGCATATCAATATATACCCACTGATTCTTGGAAGAATACAACTTAATGACACCCGAGCTTACCCCATCATAACCCAAAATATAAGGTTGTTTCAAACAATGTATAGCTTCAAAATATACATGCAAAACTATAATGTCACTCCTTCCATCCATAGCTTCATCTATGAATTTGAAGGTGGTTACATTTCTCCAACCCATCCTTTAGCTTTATAGCAAACCAAGTGTTTGGGTCAGCCATGTCGCTGAAAAACTAATTAAGGATGGTACCTTTAACCAAGTTAATTTGTGAAGTAGCGAACCATTTACTTTTCAGATCCAAATGCCAAGCAAAGCGTTGTGGGTTCTCCACATTAAATATCACAGGAATGGCCGTCCAGCTCGATAAACTTGAGTGACAGTTCCTTACACTATTTATTAGATATTTTCAGACCTCAGAAGTGGTTTATGTCTAAATTAGTCAATGGCCCAAGCTACCAGGTGTGTAAATCCCACTAAATGCCTCAACCCCAGGGAAAGATAAGTGCTATCCAAAATTATTTTAATTTGCATCATTTTGAACAGAACCTGAATTTTTTATTTTATTAATTTGGGATTGAGGCATATAGCTGGATCTATACTGGTGGTGGTGTGGGACATGAACGCATATAGCTGGCTCTATACAGGTGGTGGTGTGGGACATGAACGCATATAGCTGGCTCTATACAGGTGGTGGTGTGGGACATGAACGCATATAGCTGGATCTATACTGGTGGTGGTGTGGGACATGAACGCATATAGCTGGCTCTATACAGGTGGTGGTGTGGGACATGAACGCATATAGCTGGCTCTATACTGGTGGTGGTGTGGGACATGAACGCATATAGCTGGCTCTATACAGGTGGTGGTGTGGGACATGAACGCATATAGCTGGATCTATACTGGTGGTGGTGTGGGACATGAACGCATATAGCTGGCTCTATACAGGTGGTGAGGTGGGACATGAACGCATATAGCTGGATCTATACTGGTGGTGGTGTGGGACATGAACGCATATAGCTGTATCTATACAGGTGGTGGTGTGGGACATGAACGCATATAGCTGGATCAATAATGGTGGTGTGGGACATGAACGCATATAACTGGATCTATACTGGTGGTGGTGTGGGACATGAACGCATATAGCTGGATCTATACTGGTGGTGGTGTGGGACATAAACGCATATAGCTGTATCTATACAGGTGGTGGTGTGAGACATGAACACAAAATAGCTGGATCAATACTGGTGGTGGTGTGAGACATGAACGCATATAGCTGGATCTATACTGGTGGTGGTGTGGGACATGAACGCATATAGCTGGATCTACACTGGTGGTGGTGTGAGACATGAACGCATATAGCTGGATCAATACTGGTGGTGGTGTGGGACATGAACGCATATAGCTGTATCTATACAGGTGGTGGTGTGAGACATGAACACATAGCTGGATCAATACTGGTGGTGGTGTGAGACATGAACGCATATAGCTGGATCTATACTGGTGGTGGTGTGAGACATGAACGCATATAGCTGGATCAATACTGGTGGTGGTGTGGGACATGAACGCATATAGCTGGATCTATACTGGTGGTGGTGTGGGACATGAATGTATATAGCTGGATCTATACTGGTGGTGGTGTGGGACATGAACGCATATAACTCGATCTATACTGGTGGTGGTGTGGGACATGAACGCATATATCTGGATCTATACTGGTGGTGGTGTGGGACATTAATGCATATAGCTGGATCTATACTGGTGGTAGTGTGGGACATTAACTTATTCAGTAATTAAAGCAATTTTGAAGTCTGAAAACTTGAAGCTGATTTATGAGTGTACTATCACTTTAAAGCTAAATGCAGCAGCATTATGTTAAAAACAAGTACATCGGACTAGTAGGCGTATGCACATAGAGTATGCTTTGAGCTCTCCACTGAAATGAGGCCTCACAAACCATTACCACATTTTTTCCCATTTTGTTGAGGAATTGATAGACCTTTGTCTGCAGAAAGAGCTTGCTGTTTGAAAAGAGAAAAAGAGATGTGTTAATATCAAATACATTGGGTCACATTCAAGGTAAAATACATAACTGAAACGTGTATAATCAAAATAAGATTTATTGTCAATCATTTAATCATACCCATGTTCCTGAAACATTGTTCTCTCATTTAGGAAAAAAAAGTTGGGACATGTTTCCTGGCACAACATCTTTGTATTTTACATAACATTTTTTAAGACAGATTGTCACTTTATACAAAATTGGTGATGTCCATTTCTATCAGGATCACATCGATAATAAGATAGTTTGACTAGTTTTTTGAACAACTGGGTTACATACCAATGTGTCAACAAGTCAGGTTAAACTTGTGAACAAACCGTTATAGGACCTCTGATATTGTCAATGCAATAGGTAGTGGAACACTTGTCATCCACAATAAATTCACTACTTTTTTCAAAGGTGTTATGGGTTACTGGTTAAATGTAGTCACTTACACCCTTTGTTATACTACCTTTAAAAAAATACCAGGCCAAGTTGGCAGCAGCGGGTCCCGCCTCTTCAGCTTCCCCAACAGCAGAATCCACTTTAGCAATAAAGAAAAATAGGGGCGCTAAATGAAAACATCCTTCAGCAGAATAGTGACGTTTCACAAAAAGACTATTTCTAACCAAACCATGGTAACCATTTATATTTGTTGTTTTTACCCATTCTGGTTTGAGAGCCAATATTAACTAATAATCGTATACTATGAAAACTCTTTGTGAAACCTCACTGTACTCTATTTACATTTTTTTTTTTAACGATTACAATGAAGCTTGACTTAAATTCAACAACACCCCATTTCTTTATATTTGGGAGTGCAATCAGTTTGATTTAATATTTACAGGTTATATGCGTGATGCATAGAACTTAAAAGAAAAGACCTTCAAACATATATTTAAGTAATTACTCAAAAACTATGACGGAAAGATATGTTCCAGTGTAAACTTAATGTTACTTTAAAAAGCCGCTGGTGTAGACTAAGATAAATAAAACTTGAAATAAAACTTGAAAAACACATCTTAGAATTGATCAAATCATCAGCTTTTCTTGATCTGAGATCCTTACCATGGAGCCAAGCAGACAGGGACGTTCTGTAACCCATTCATCCAGCATGGTAGAACAATCATCACCTAGAAGAAAACTGGCAACAAGGTTTAACGAGTAACGTGTACTTAAATCATTGGTTTCATAAGATTTTTCACACATGCTCAAAATCATTCAACATTTCTTAAGTAATGTTCTCAAATAGTTTTAACAGTGTTCACAAATTCCCCTGACGTTCATTACTCTGAAGTTAATCAGGTTCAGTCTCAACATCTGAAAACAGATAAAAGTACTTGACCCTACATTTTGAGTGACGTGCTTGCACTCTCTGCACACTTAGTGCAGAACTCCACTGAGACGTTGTTCTTGTCCACGTGCAGACAGACGCCGCCAGAGGTCTCCTTCTCCTCCACCTTCACACGTTTCCTGGGCAAGGCATAATCGTGGTCGTCGTTCTTGTTGGACCCCTGGAAAAGCGAGGAAGATAATTTCATGCCGTTCACACCGCTCAGCCTTGACAACAGCTGGGCTAACATGCTCTCGTTGGCCAACACGGCTCTCAGGTACCTCGTCTCATCTTCCAACTCTTCTACCCGCTTATTCAATTGGACGTTTTCCTGTTTGAGTATGCGGTTTTCTGACGACAGAGACCCAACTTTATTCTCCAGCCCGTTCACGTATTCCTTCTTTTTCAGACGATTCATTCGCGCAGCGATGGCATTTTTGTTGATCATGTGCCCAGACGGGTCATCTCTCCACTTCCTTTTCTGACCAGCAGACACTCCTTCGGGCGATGGGGTCCTGGATGTGCCGAGCCAAAAATCTTGATCTGTTGCGTCACCCACACCTAATTCGGTCAATCCAATGTCGAAAAGAGGGGAGACTGCATCCTTCTCAAATGTCCAGTTTAACTTGTCGATTCCAAATAAATCATCCAGCTCTAATCCAACTGTACTATCCCCATTATCTGAACTCATTTCTTCGGAGGGACTCGTTTTAACATTTTCTATCATTTCAACAAAGTCAGTGACTTCAACTTCAAAAGGACAATTTGAGGAGTGAACCTCCACATTGGTGTTGTCTGAACGACCTCTTCGTCTGGTGATCATTTTAGTTTGATGCCGTCACCACCAATTTATTCCTGCTCCAATCTAGACTGCTCAGATTACCTGTGAGGATACAAAAAGTAAGGACATTGATTAGTAACTTAAATTAAGTCTGTTTAATGAATATGTTGGGTTTCATGGCCCCTAGCCAATATTTGAGTATTGTGTCCTGTGCTTCAGTGAGTAACGTTAAATTAGGCCTAGTTATCCTTCAGATTCCCTGTCCATTACCTCAATCCCCATTTTGAAGGGCCTTTGTCTGGAGGCCATTCACGTTTCCTTTACCAAATATAATCAGTAGTGTTGAGCGATTAGTGCTTTGAGGGCTGTTCTGTTCTGTTTCGGTTAAATTATTTGCAAAAAATAAAATAAGGATTTCGATAACTTTTTGAAACTTGATTTTAGAGATTTTTTGTTGAAATTCCAAAGCCAAACAGTGAACATTCAATTGCTAAAACATTACAAATATTGCATCGTCTGTCAGGTCCACATTGGGTAGACATCAATAGAAAGAGTACTATGAAATAATAATATATTACAGTTGCTCTTCTGGAACGGGGTTTGAGAGCCCTGTTTTATAACATGTTCCTGATAAATAAAAGCTAATGTTAGCGAACCTAAGTTAGCATCCCTAGTGAATACATTGTTGCAGACATCCTCCTCGTCCTATCTGTGTGGGTCTTTCTCGATAAATGAAAAACTAATGTAGACTAACATTTCTATTTAATGCAGTTGTTCAAGGCAGCTGTATATAACTTTAGTTATCTAGCTAAATTAGGCGCCAAAATATTGTCTGAACAAGGCTAACGTCAGCTAGTTAGGCCTAACGTCAGCTAGCTAACAATAGTTACCATGTAATCTTTCAGTTTTTGGAACATGTTAATACGTACTCACATGTACATTTATCTAACTAGTTAGTGTTTTCAACAACGTAAAAAGTTATTTTTATTTAACGCTAGTTAGAAATTAACTATTACATTATTAGCTAGTTGTTGGACGGCCATTGCGCACAAAAACAAAATGACAAAGCATTTTTGAAGTAACCTCACTTACCGTCCGTGAAGCTTTAACTGGATCAGATTGTAGCTATTTGTTCGCAATATTCTTCAACTTCTCGTAGGAAAACATTCAATCTTGTTTGACAGTCTGTAAATTTGTCTAATCCCGAAAAAACGACTTGCTGACTAGCGGAGATAACTTCCAAACGTACAAAGGACGTACAAAAATGGCGACGCACACCACGGAAATTGTTTTCACTAGTTACCACAGCCACAAAGTCAACATGGCTATATTGTAAAAATGTATGAGAACATATATAAGCTTTTCGGTGTTAATTTATGGTTAGAGTTAGACATAAGGTTATCAGTGTGGTTAGGTTTAAAATCTGATAAAGATAAATTGTAGACATAGGCAGGGTTTATGACTTTGTGGCTATGGTAACTAGGGACGAGTGCGGAAATACATAACTGGGCGCGTTCTTCTGCCAAGGTGTTGCTGACGCTTACCAGATCTTACAACGCATGGATAGGTATTTTACTTCTCAGCTAACCTCATCATATGTTATAGCAGTATCTGTCAGTCGGTGCTGCAACCATTGGTTGATTCATGCAACGTCTGATCAAGAGAAGGCGACTATCTTTCCCACAGGATCTAGCGTGAGTCTATAAAAAGAGTCGCAGCTGTGCTTATTTATTTGCACACCAGGGGTCGCATTTTGAAGGTTTGAGCCTGCTAGCAGTGCTCCCTTTTAAAAATAAATATATTATTTTAATATATCATATTTTATACCATTTGCCTGGTCATATAAAGGAGAAGTAAAATAAATCATTTTCAACAGCTCCAGAGGCTACTCAGAGTCACTGCTGTAGTGTTGACTCTTTGTGGCCTCTGGGTAGGAGCTGCCTGGCCTGGTCGTTTTTGCGGGACACCATGGGCACCTCAGGGAAGAGCAGACTGCTAGAGGCAGCAGAAGTTCCAGACTGGACTCCATCGTATCGGAGTCAATTTCCTGGGATCTCCGCTGCCTCTTCACAGGAGAAGTTCCGTCCTCTGACCTGACCCCTCTTCTGGGGGCTCCAGAGCTCTGAGGGATGGGGCTGTTGGTCCTCCTGGACTCCATCTAGACCCTCAGCATTTCTCTCCTCAACTCCACCTCCTCCCTTTCCACTGCTCTAATGTTTGCAAGGCAGGTCTAGTCAGCTCATTCTGGATGTGGTAGCCAGATTCGTCAGACTGAATAAGACGATGCGAGAGGGATCTATAATCACCAGATGCCCAAAAGACTCCACTCTAAATCTCTCAATGTCCATAAGACCAATGACCTCTGTGTAGTCAAAAACATGACACTGTGAAAATGATGATAATGCCCCTTTAGTGAGCTGTTTGAAATGACAGCCTGAAATTTCAGCCTGTTTTGGTGGGATGGAGTTTGGGACTTGCAGTAAATTAGTTAATAGACCAATAAGAAAGAGAGTTCCAAACCTCTCTGCCAATAACAGCGATATATTATTATTATTAATAATTCTGGAGCATTTAAAAAACTCTGTCCCAAATTTCCCATAGGATCATGGCTCTTTTTGCATTCTCTTGGAAATCCAACTTCACGTCTATTTCAAATGTTGTGGTGTTTTTTCTCACTGCTTACTGTCAATTGCTGCCGAAAAATGTAATCCTATGTATGCAACCATTACTATTGAATTCACACATATTTTTTTCTTCCAACATGTGATATTGTATTGATTGTTGGGGTGCCTGAATTAGTGGAAACATTAACTTTGATGAAAAACATATGCTGTTACTATATTGAGTAATGTGAATAAATATATTTCACAAAGACAACAATGAAAACATAACACCACATTTCTGATTATATATGCTGTTGTATCAATAGTGGAAACATTCTCTTCAGTTCATTTACCATGGAATAACATTATGAAAACATATATAGGATTATATACAAATAGTGATCAATATGAATTGCAATGAATCAATTAAAACATAACCTATCTATATCTTAACAATTTGTGAGTAGGTATTTGATCAGTATGACAACAAACACGATTATGTAACATTTTCATCTTTCAAAAAATAAAATACCCATTTGTAATGTAGTTCTAAGAAGAATCTAAGCACCAAGCACAATACTCCAATATGCCTGTATGTTCTTTCCCCTACAAAAGTGAGAGATTATATTACTGATTACATTATCAGTTATAAACTTCATCAAACTGATACACCCAATGAGCAACATTCTTCTCATTTTGTCATACAACCTTTCACACACCATCTTATTTTGATCAACTTCTTGCCATTATCAACATTCTCAAGGGTAAAACATCCTCGACCCATTCATTGTGAGAATGCATCATTCTCTCCCAGAAACTTGCTTCTTCAGAGGTTGAATCCATCCAATCCACCTCCAACCCATAACTTTTACCTGTTAAGACAGATTGGGGATGATCCAGTTAGCTTCCTATTGGATTTATTGTGTATGCATATCAATATTAATAATTAGGCTACAACAGGTTTGGAACGACTCACGAAACAATTTCAATATAAAGACATGCTACGTTAGAGAAAAGCATTAATCCGATTCAGAAATTTGGGGAATTTTCTCAACCCATTAGATGCCGGAATTCAATCGGTGCTACAGTGCAGGGCAGAGGGCACTACACAGCTGAGAATGTGCCTTTTAAATACATTTTCCCAGATGTTCTCAGAGATCGCATTCATGGTCAACGCTGCGCATGTCGGCTCAAGTGTAAATTACCTTTAAAAGTCTGTTATAGTGTGCTGCGTTTTAACGTGCCTTGAATTGAATCCCGGCCAAACTGTAAACAAATTACACAAAGTATATCACCTGTTCCAAGGCCCAGCCTTAAGCCCCCAATGAAATGGTTAGCGAGCCGGTCGTGATCCCACACCGTGACTTCAACGCAGGCCTCTCGTAGGTCGTCTGGCCGAAAGCCATCGTAGACCATGGTGTGATTGAACATGGGGTTGGCCGTCTTCTTCACCACCCGAGTCTTCTGTCGGCTTTTCCTGCTTGTGTCTGGAAGCACGGTGCTAAAATAGCATACAACAACAACAGATAAGCAGCCTAGCACACGCTGGCCCACAATCTGATCCTGTGCATTTCAAGGAATTTCTTTAGCTCTAACAGTACAGGTAAAAGTCAGTAAATTAGAATATTTTGAAAAACTTGATTTATTTCAGTAATTGCATTCAAAAGGTGTAACTTGTACATTATATTTATTCATTGCACACAGACTGATGCATTCAAATGTTTATTTCATTTAATTTTGATGATTTGAAGTGGCAACAAATGAAAATCCAAAATTCCGTGTGTCACAAAATTAGAATATTGTGTAAGGGTTACATTTTGAAGACACCTGGTGCCACAAAATAATCAGCTGATTAACTCAAAACACCTGCAAAGGGCTTTAAATTTGTCAATAAAGGTGTTGAAATCTTTGAGCCTTTTAAAATGCACCTGTTTTGTTGCAATTGGTTTGAGCGGCAAATCTTGCACCACATTTCAGTGCGTCCGTTAGTTTCAGCCATGCATTTTTGGGCCACTTTTCCGAAAAAATTTTTTCTTGGGCTTGGCTCAGTTGGCGTTTCTTGTGGGTGGCGAAACGCCAAAGAAGCTGCTTAATGTCTGTTGCTTTTTGGACATCCCTGACAGTAGTTGAAAAGCAACATGTCATGTGTAAGGTTAGATGAAAGATCGGTCAAGACGAAAAGGCGCGTAGTAACACAAGTGGCATTACGCATTCCTGATTTTTGTCGCGCTTGCGTATCTGCGTACCAGTTATGTGCACCCCTGCATATAAAGTCTGACGTGCTTAAATCCAATGGGTTATTTCCTAGTATCGATACAATCGATTATTACATTTTAAAACGATGTTAGATCGATATATTTTTTCCAAAAGGCCAACTCGCCGAGCACAGATCGATGTAGTTGGATCATATGAAATAAATCGATACATCGATGTAGTAGATGGATCGTTACACCCCTACCAGATGCCCAAAAGACTCCACTCTAAATCGCTCAATGTCCATAAGACCAATGACCTCTGTGTAGTCAAAACATGACACTGTGAAAATGATGATATGCCCCTTTAGTGAGCTGTTTTGAAATGACAGCCTGAAATTTCAGCCTGTTTTTGGTGGGATGGAGTTTGGGACTTGCAGTAAATTAGTTTAATAGACCAATAAGAAAGATGAGTTCCAAACCTCTCTGCCAATAACAGCGATATATTATTATTATTAATATTCTGGAGCATTTAAAAAACTCTGTCCCAAATTTCCCATAGGATCATGGCTCTTTTTGCATTCTCTTGGAAATCCAACTTCACGTCTATTTCAAATGTTGTGGTGTTTTTTCTCACTGCTTACTGTCAATTGCTGCCGAAAAATGTAATCCTATGTATGCTACCATTACTATTCAATTCACACATTTTTTTCTTCCAACATGTGATATTGTATTGATTGTTGGGGTGCCTGAATTAGTGGAAACATTAACTTTGATGAAAACATATGCTGTTACTATATTGAGTAATGTGAATAATATATTTCACAAAGACAACAATGAAAACATAACACCACATTTCTGATTATATATGCTGTTGTATCAATAGTGGAAACATTCTCTTCAGTTCATTTACCATGGAATAACATTATGAAACATATATAGGATTATATACAAATAGTGATCAATATGAATTGCAATGAATCAATTAAAACATAACCTATCTATATCTTAACAATTTGTGAGTAGGTATTTGATCAGTATGACAACAAACACGATTATGTAACATTTTCATCTTTCAAAAAATAAATACCCATTTGTAATGTAGTTCTAGAAGAATCTAAGCACCAAGCACAATACTCCAATATGCCTGTATGTTCTTTCCCCTACAAAAGTGAGAGATTATATTACTGATTACATTATCAGTTATAAACTTCATCAAACTGATACACCCAATGAGCAACATTCTTCTCATTTTGTCATACAACCTTTCACACACCATCTTATTTTGATCAACTTCTTGCCATTATCAACATTCTCAAGGGTAAAACATCCTCGACCCATTCATTGTGAGAATGCATCATTCTCTCCCAGAAACTTGCTTCTTCAGAGGTTGAATCCATCCAATCCACCTCCAACCCATAACTTTTACCTGTTAAGACAGATTGGGGATGATCCAGTTAGCTTCCTATTGGATTTATTGTGTATGCATATCAATATTAATAATTAGGCTACAACAGGTTTGGAACGACTCACGAAACAATTTCAATATAAAGACATGCTACGTTAGAGAAAAGCATTAATCCGATTCAGAAATTTGGGGAATTTTCTCAACCCATTAGATGCCGGAATTCAATCGGTGCTACAGTGCAGGGCAGAGGGCACTACACAGCTGAGAATGTGCCTTTTAAATACATTTTCCCAGATGTTCTCAGAGATCGCATTCATGGTCAACGCTGCGCATGTCGGCTCAAGTGTAAATTACCTTTAAAAGTCTGTTATAGTGTGCTGCGTTTTAACGTGCCTTGAATTGAATCCCGGCCAAACTGTAAACAAATTACACAAAGTATATCACCTGTTCCAAGGCCCAGCCTTAAGCCCCCAATGAAATGGTTAGCGAGCCGGTCGTGATCCCACACCGTGACTTCAACGCAGGCCTCTCGTAGGTCGTCTGGCCGAAAGCCATCGTAGACCATGGTGTGATTGAACATGGGGTTGGCCGTCTTCTTCACCACCCGAGTCTTCTGTCGGCTTTTCCTGCTTGTGTCTGGAAGCACGGTGCTAAAATAGCATACAACAACAACAGATAAGCAGCCTAGCACACGCTGGCCCACAATCTGATCCTGTGCATTTCAAGGAATTTCTTTAGCTCTAACAGTATACTGTAAGTTTAGGACAAAAGCAATCAATGGCCCAGTTCGAATATTACAGAAATGCGTCCTATCCTTTCTCGCTACCATTCTTGAGGTAATCACAGATATGAACTGGGTGGCTTGGTGAAAGTAATAGGGTGGTCACCTCATACCTATCCAATCGCATATACTGTAGATACGCATAAGCGCTTACCTCAAGGAAAGAAGGGAGGATGCATTTTCAAAGTATTCAAACAGGACTCAACAACAGTACAAAAAAGCTGTATTACACAGTGTATTACATTTGTGAGTGAATTGCTATAAATAGTGTTGAAAGAGTTTATATGACTAAATGGCACATTGGCACTATAAAGATATGAAATACTAAATTATTCTTCACACCCGTATTTAACCAGGTGCAACATATCCAAAACTCATACCATTTCACAAAGGGGTCCATGATCGCACCCCTGACAGCAGGCAGGTTCTTGCAGTCTTTTACCCAAATCTGCACCTCACCCGTCTCTGTTTTGGATGACCTCTTACCTATCAATTGAGTAAAAACACACATGAGTAAGTTATGTTCAATAGAACACAGAACAGGCTTGATGATGATGAGAGTGGTCTGAGAAACAGCTTACTGTAGGAGATCTGTGGCAGGAAACGCAATCCTATTCTCATCATTCCTCGATGGTCAATAGATTGGGAGTGAGAGGGACTGAGAGACTGTGTCGAAATCTAGAGTGAATAGAATAACTTTAGTTGTGGCAAGTTGGTATCAGATCAGTCTTTATGAGTTACCACCTACATAAAATTGACACTGCAAAACAGACTGTATACGACCAAAACTATTCCTCTTGTAGTTTACCCTTGCTTTCAAAGCATAGTCATTCATCTGTGTGTTGCTAAAGTCCCATTCAGACAAATCCAAGTCCACCTCGCCAAGGAAGCTGTTCCGTCCAAAGTTATCGTTGTGCCACATGGAGACATTAAGTGATCGAGTCTTGAGGGTCTCCATGGTAACTTTAAACTGCAGGGGTAGAACACGGTGTAAAACTACATTATTCAAAACAGACAATAGACAGAGCACTGATAGCTTCGTGTCGTCACTGATAGCGTTGTGTCGTCACTGATTGCTTTGTGTCGTCACTGATAGCGTTGTGTCGTCACTGATTGCTTTGTGTCGTCACTGATAACTTTGTGTACAGCTATTTTTGAACTTTTCCTGTTGAAAAACAATATCCCATTTATAATTTCAGGAATGTACACACTTAAGGGTAAATAAAATAGTTTTTAGCAAAATTGAGTTTTTGTAGATACAAGTTCAAACTTCATGGAGTTGGCCATTCAAGGAGTTGGCCTGATGGTGCCCTCTGATGTAATCAGCCTCCCCCCTTGCTTGAGGAACAATAGAGAACAAAAAAGGAAAGGCTCACCCCGCCATATACCTGGACCACCTATTGAGATGTGCCTTTTGTTGAGTGAATCAGGTGATAAATGAGCTGAAAGGGAGTCTGGAGGAGGACTTTAATAACCAGCCATCATAGCTCTTCTCTCTTACCCTAAGGATCTCATTGTAGGTGGGGTTCAAGGTCTTCTTTTTCACACTGGTTTTTCTCTTTCCCATCTTTGCTTTGTCCGGTAAGAGGTAACATTTCACATATCTGAAAATGAATATCCAACATCAAATTATTAGCCACTGCACAAATACAAAGCAAAAGCAACTAGGGCTGGGATTCAATTAGAAACCCTGCTATAGCACGCTGGACATTTAAAGGAAATTTCCAACTGAGCAGGCATCTGCAGCGTTTACCTTGAATGCGAACTCCGCAAACGCGGTAACATTTTGCTTTAAAAGCTGCAAAGTGCAATCGGATAGAAGTTGGTGAAAGTTTCCATGGCACATCATTGCTTTCCATGCACCTAGTCTCAAATTGCAATAACACACTGATGATCCTGTGTAAGGTAATGGAAAACAAGAATGTTTCCATCAACCTCTGTAAGCCTATGCACCTGGAGATGGCTGAAAATTATTTTACAATGATAGGATAATCACACACACACACAATCTTATTTATCACAAGAACACCTACGGATCGGAACGGTTCTTCTTGGGTTCTGCCACGGCAAGATCTCTGCAGTGGACAACAAAGATGTGGAACTCCCCGAGCTTCTGGACGTAATTCAATGCAAACCGGATTGTTCCCTTCACCTCCACATTCCCATCTACTCCACTGTAGATGCTTGCCACACTGCCGCTCACCTTAACGGTCCACATGATGTTAGGAAGAGACAACAGCATCAACAAGTGTTTTATCAAGCAAACCAAATACCCCATAGTCTGAGTTGCCTTTGACTGATAATTAGGGGGGAATTTTTTAAATAACTGATAACTCCTTCTTTTACTTCCAATGAGTTAGCCAAAGGAGAAAAGAAAATTGATTCGCCTGCCTGATGTGTACACAACCATCTTTTAAGTGGTGTAACATTCTTAGAAGCAGTGATATGCAACTACAGCAGATGAGGCTGGTGAGGGGAGGACGGTTCATAATAATGGAATGGAGTCAATGGAATGGTATCAAACACATGGAAAACCAGATGTTTGATGTGTTTGATACCATTCCATTTATTCCGTTCCAGACATTACTATGAGCAGTCCTCCCCATTTAAAGTGCCACCAGCCACCACTGAACCTCAGTATTATTTTCTTCCAGATGCTGAACATAGGCCTCTCTTAATCTTAAGTGCATTCAGAACCCACATTTCCCGATTCTCTAGAACCCTAATACTCTTACATCTGCTATGGGACAATTGTATGATTCCTGTGTATCAAATGTGGGGGAGAAAACAAATGTTCTGCTGTAACTTTTGTTATTAGCATTATTAGGATTGCAGCCACGTGAATTCAAAGCAAAGTGAGTTTGATTATTTCATGGCACATGTCAACATATCTGATAGGGAAGCTGCATGAGAACATACAGAGGACATGGACGCCATGCCAGAGGAGAGGCTAAGGTTAGTGAGGGAACTGCCCGTCCGCTTTTTCCAGCTGAAGTTGAGACTTTTCACTGAGGTGCAGTCACTGTCTCTGCCATCCTTCTACAAGACAGTGCAGAAACAACAATGGCGGGTGGTCAGACACGCGCACACACACATACACACACACACACACACACACACACACACAAACACACACACAGGTTCAAACACATTGTGGGCCTACATAGTGGTTGGAGCCAGGGTCTGCTACATGCACATACAAACCATGTTAAAAATGTACTGAAATGTGGGATAAAGAGTGGTTATCAATAGCTCATGTGTCTTATCCAAGCATGAAAAATACATTAATTCTATGACTTCCAAAAAGGAAAGGTGATTGCATTACCCCTCAAAATGTTATGCATTGAGTCACAAATGGTGGATTTTGAAAGCCATTCAAATGAATTCAAGAGGGAAGAACTCAACACAATCAGTTATTTTGCATTGTTGTCAACTTAAAGCTAACAAGGCAATTAACTTCCCCCTTATTCAGATGGGGTATATCACTCTAAAAATGCTTAGGTATTTTTTTGCCCTGAACAAAGGGCGCCACTGTCAGTAAAACATTTTTTACCTCATCCTGCAAAGCAGACACCGACTTGCTCATATTCTTCATCTGCTCCGGGACTGAGAGGGAAGAGGAAGAGGGAGGAGGGAGGAGGGAGAGGGAGGAGGGAGGCACTGCAGAGACTGGAAGATGCAAAGCAGATAGGTGGACAAGGACATTCACCACTCTCTAACTAATCTCTCCTAATGACTCAAATCAGCAGGGTCTTCACTCAAATCATTCAACGAATTAGTGAAATTACAAGACAATGTAATGACCAGCAGCATTAATCACATTGGCGAAACAACATGCTTTCCTCAACATTCCTCTGCTCTCAATAATCCACTTCCTGAATAATTCCATAATTCCCAAATCAACCCCTATCCCCTTCCCCTTAGACAATTGAGTAGATCTGAGAGGATTGGGAAGGTGTAAGTGATTGCGGACCTTCCACCTTGCCCTATGATAGTACAGGTGCATGAATTGTTGCCATATTCCTTATACCTATCCAATCCTCTCAGATCTCCCCAAGTGCCTCAGAGGTTAAAGCTAGGGATTGATTAGGGATTTTTTAGGACGAGTGTTGTGGGCATGTTTTGAAACCAGGGGAATTTAATGCAGCATTTTTGTGCGTTTTTGTTTGATCTGATGCACATGGACCATCTTATGTTGCATTTCTTGTCAAAAATGTTAACTCAATATACAGTAGGGCGTAAACAAGAACATAGTGAACATACTTGGGCAGAGTTAAGGAAGATTGATTTAAACAATCACAAGATCTAATTTTGTTATAACCATGGCATCACTGTGCCTGAAACCACAACAATCAACATAACAACGTTATTTGAAAAAGTATAGTTTCCTCAAATTGCAATAAAATATGAAGTGATATTTCAACAATGAGTTACAATTCTAATCTATTCTCATCACTGAATGGTTCAGGGTTTCAACTCTCACCAACAAATACAGTCAAAATCTAGTAATACCATTTAGTAGAAGCCAAGTATAACACAATTGTATTTGTTTGCACAATACTGGTGGTCTGCTTTCAAACAAAAAGCAAATGTACACTGTTTTTATGAAATGAAATGAAACAGAAATATTTACCATCATCCACACTTAGATGAATTGTACTTCTTTCTTCTCCTTTGGAAGAAAATAAAGGGTTAGAGGATTAAACAGTTCACTTCAGATATCATGAAAACAACATCATAATGCTCATTGAAAACTCTTTCTTAAACAATTTATTTGAAGGGTTAGAGCAACTATTGGAACAATTGGCCACGGCTAACCACAGTCTAGGATTGAGAATAACACTGAGTTAAGGAACTCAAGAATCAAGCCTTTGGAGCTCAGGAAAACCAAGAACTGTCTATTTACGTTTTGGCGGTGATACAACCTCCTCCAGACTTCTGGATAAGGGTCTTGAAGACATTTGTTTCAACTCTACCCTGATAGGGCTTAAGTTCTCATCATGACCTGCCACAGAGAAAATAAAATCAGCTCTGGAAAATATAGCAATAAACCGACGAACAAAAGACAGACCGGTCTTCATAGATTGCATGACATTAGGAAAAATGTCCCCTTCTGATATTTCCAGATACTTCCATTGTTCTGAACAAACAGTTGCACTGCAAATACTTGCACAGCATTCCAAAAATCTATTGATTGTTCTTTATGAAGATTAGGAAATATTTTAATGAGTTTGTTTTCATTTCAATCTACTGATTATTTGAAACACCCTGACAGATAATACAAATGTATATTAGCTTACTTCACAGTTTCTTAATGATCCAGGGTCATTCAAGTCTGTGGCATACAATGTGATTTGAAGAGGTGATTTACTAAACATGTTACATGGTAATCGAAAAGGTTTTCTTTACGCTTCATGTACTTATTTTAATCAGATAGACCTTGGTTAATTTGTGGGTCTACTCTACGGTATGGATATCATGATAATGTTAGAGACAATCATCTTGTGCCTATATCAGAATGCAGATACAATAACATAACAAAAAAAAATATGAAGAGGCAGGGTTACAGCGCCATGAAATGCAGGAATTTGTATATAAATACAAATAAAATGTAGACCTTATTGGTTTGCGCAAAGTGACAGTTTTAACAGCATTGGTTGTTTGGTACAGCACAGTATATTCAAAATTACTATTTCCTTTTACAGCTAAAGTTGGCGGATTGCTCATCTATTTCGACCCGTTAATGTCATGAAGAGACTTTGAGTGATGCAACCGTTGGCTATGCACACCTGGCTGAAGGAGCGCCGAGGTAAAGTTTAGCAAAGTTCAATGACACAATAGCGTGATAGAAGGTCTGGCAAGCTAGCTTTCACACTGTGCTGGAAAGCCAATCAATAAATGCAAAACCAAATGTACTGTTTAGCATGCTGTTTGGAAGAAACACCCACTAACGAGAAACTAGGTTTGCCATGCCATAAGGCTTACGACAAAATGACTTTCAATGTAGATTTACAGTTAGGTAAACTGGTTGCTTTCGGTCTGTCAGAGAGGCCTTTCAACATTTGCCACGTTGAAAAATATAAGAGGGCTTTTATAAGAGGACAGTATGTGCCCCCCCAAAAAGATATACAGTGCATTCGGAAAGTATTCAGACCCCTTCACTTTTTCCACATTTTGTTACGTTACAGCCTTATTCTAAAATTGATTAAATTAAAAATGTTCCTCATTAATCTACACACAATACCCCATAATGACAAAGTAAAAACTGGTTTTTAGAAATGTTTGCAAATGTATTACAAATAAAAAATAGAAATACCTTATTTACATAAGTGTTCAGACCCTTTGCTATGAGACTCGAAATTGAGCTCAGGTGCATCCTGTTTCCGTTGATCATCCTTGAGATGTTTCTACAACTTGATTGGAGTCCACCTGTGGTAAATTCAATTGATTGGACATGATTTGGAAAGGCACACACCTGTCTATATAAAGTCCCACGGTTGACAGTGCATGTCAGAGCAAACACCAAGCCATGGGGATGAAGGAATTGTCCGTAGAGCTCCGAGACAGGATTGTGTCGAGGTACAGATTTGGGGCAGGGTACCAAAAATTTCTGCAGCATTGAAGGTCCCCAAAAACACAGCGGCCTCCATCATTCTTAAATGGAAGAAGTTTGCTCATGAGTGGCGCAGCGGTCTAAGGCACTGCATTGCAATGTTGCGGCGTTACTACAGCCTGTGCCATTACCAGCCGTGACCGGGAGTCCCATAGGGCGGCGCACAATTGGTCCAGCGTCGTCCGGGTTAGGGGAGGGTTTGGCCGGGGGAGCTTTGCTTGGCTCATCGCGCTCTAGCGACTCCTTGTGGCTGGCTGGGCGCCTGCAGGTTGACTTAGGTTGTCAGTTGAACAGTGTTTCCTCTGACACATTGGTGCAGCTGGCGGGTGTTAAGAAGCGCGGTTAGGCGGGTCATGTTTCGGAGGACGCATGACTCGACCTTCGCCTCTCCCGAGATCGTTGGGGAATTGCAGCGATGAGACAAGTTCGTAATCACGAAATTGGGGAGTAAAAGGGGGTAAAAATTACCACAAAATTAAAATTAATGGAAGAAGTTTGTAACCACCAAGCCTCTTCCTAGAGCTGGCCGCCCGGCCAAACTGAGCAATCGAGGGAGAAAGGCCTTGGTCAGGGGGGTGACCAAGAACCCAATGGTCACTCTGACAGAGCTCCAGAGTTCCTCTGTGGAGACGGGAGAACCTTCCAGAAGGACAACCATCTCTGCAGCACTCCACCAATCAGGCCTTTATGGTAGTGGCCAGACGGAAGCCACTCCTCAATAAAAGGCACATGACAGCCCGCTTGGAGTTTGCAAAAAGGCACCTAAAGGACTCTCAGACCATGAGAAACAATATTCTCTGGTCTGATGAAACCAAGATTGAACTCTTTGGCCTGAATGCCAAGTGTCACGTCTGGAGGAAACCTGGCACCATACCGACGGTGAAGCATAGTGGTGGCAGCACCATGCTGTGGGGATGTTTTTCAGCGAAGACTAGTCAGGATTAAGGGAAAGATGAACGGAGCAAAGTACAGAGAGATCCTTGATGAAAACCTGCTCCAGAGCGCTCAGGACCTCAGACTGTGGGCGATGGTTCACCTTCCAACAGGACAACAGATCGAACATCTCTGGAGAGACCTGTAAATAGTAGGGGTGTAACGATCCATCTACTACATCGATGTATCGATTTATATTCCTATGATCCAACTACATCGATCTGTGCTCGGCGAGTTGGCCTTTTGGACAACATATATCAATCTAACATCGTTTTAAAATGTAATAAATCGATTGTATCGATACTAGGAAATAACCCATTGGATTTAAGCACGTCAGACTTTATATGGATGTTTTTTCTTAGCACTTTTAATGATAAAGGCTTTAAACATTACTCGATTCAGTCTGCCTATCCGTGACGTCATCACCCCGCGCCAGCAGCAGCGCAAAGGCGCAAAGACAACAAAACATAGCATGGCGGACGACAGAGGAGAAGCCGACGAGCGAGAAATTATCAAGCCACCATTGCGGTCCTTACAAGAAACAGGAATCTAGGAAACTTCACCTGCACTGTCCAGTATCCAGGTATTTATTTCAGTCACACTGGTTGAATTTTTGGCTAAAAGGTTACTGAATCGATTTCAAGTCACTGAATCGTTTCGGATCGTATCGTTCTAAATGAACCAATATCGTCCTTGAATCGTATCGACAACCAAGAATCGTGATACAAATCGAATCGTTGTTAAAACGAATCGTTACACCCCTAGTAAATAGCTGTGCAGCGACGCTCCACATCCAACCTGACAGAGCTTGAGAGGATCTGCAGAGAAGAATGGGAGAAACTCCCCAAATACAGGTGTGCCAAGCTTGCAGCGTCATACCCAAGAAGACTCGAGGCTGTAATCGCTGCCAAAGGTGCTTCAACAAAGTACTGAGTAAAGGGTCTGAATACTTATGTAAATGTGATATTTACGTTTTTTTTATAGATTTGCAAAAAATTGTAATAACCTGTTTTTGCTTTGTCATTATGGGGTATTGTGTGTAGATAATGAGGAAATACAACAATTAAATCCATTTTAGAATAAGGCTGTAACGTAACAAAATGTGGAAAAAGTCAAGGGGTCTGAATACTTTCCGAATGCACTGTATATCTACCTAAAAGAGGCAAATTCTGCCATGTGAAAGACATTGTCTTGTGCGTCTAACCCTGCTTCTTCCATCAAAGATCAGAATGATGTGGCCGACATGATTAGCCCCCACATTAAAATCATTAGCCATTTCACTTCTAAATCACTAAAACTATGTTTGATGAGAAAATGCAAAGCTCACAGCTTGAACTTGCCCGAGATTGAGACCAGATCTCAGGCATGCTTCCTCTGGATAAGCCAACATCGACATTCTCCATGGACCTAGGACTGATCCAAGATGGACTCCCCTCACTGCTTCTCATGCTCAGGAGCAATGGAGTGGGGACAGTGGGACTCAGATGGCCATTCCCCACTTTGTCTGCGATAAACTGAGGGATGTGTGTCCACTCAGCGAGCCCCAAATAATGCTGATTGCTCTCGGGAATGAAAGACCTTGCAAGGCGGGGATATGTTTCAGAGTCTTCCGATGCTCCCGAAAGCTTTCTTTCAACAGGATCCCTATTGACGGGCTGTTGGCCAATCTTGCCAGCTTCAGAGGCTCTTACATGCGGGTCCCCATGATTTGGCCCAGTGGACCGGTGAGGACTGCCCTCCTGTACACTTAGGTTCCCTAAACTTGTCCTTCTGACGGGGCAAGGGAGCGACCTAGTGGGTGATAGCGGGGACATCATAGAAGTTAGTGAGCTCTGTGCCGAGCCTCTACGTGGCAAGGTCAGGTGATCCTGCCCCTCCTCTTCAAGTCTAAACTGTGGAGGGGTAGATGTGATTCCTAGGGTAGGTTTGGTGGACTCTGATCCTGACAGAATTGCTTCACGTGAGAGTCCTTTTCTCTGTTTAACCACTGATGTTGCTCTCTCTGGATCATCCTGATTTTCCCTTGTGAGTAAGGCAATGTCTATGGAGAAGGTTGTTAATGGAGAACTATCACGCCTGGCTCCTTGGAAACTGGATGAATATCTGGGCAGGGCTTTTGGATGACAGGTCTTTGAAGGACTTCTCTTAAGTTCATCGTCAGTTGTGTCTTTCCACTTTGGCATTTCAGATCTAGGCAGAGGTGTTTTAGGACTTAAGGGCCATTCTTGAGACAGGGTTGGTAGTGATGAGTCTGAACTCCTTTTGATGAAACCCTTTTCTATTCTTTCAGTCACGGACAAGTCGGAGTCGCTAGCCTTTACTCCGTATAAGAAAGAGCTTTGCTTGTCATAGTCACCCTTCCCTAGGTCAGTTTCAGTTGGTCTTAGATCAGACTGAGAAGTGGCAATTGAGTGGTGAACTGGAGATGTTTCTGAGCATGGATGGGTTTGACTATCTAAAGCCTCCTTTGGTTTGCTAACAATGACCCTTGGTCCACTATTCTCCTTCTCCCAGAAGGACTTGAGGTTATTGATCTTGGCCTTCCTGCTTTCCTGTTGACTGAGGGACCGTCTAACGAGGGGCACTGGGACACGCCCCTGCCGGCTTGTGCGGTGACTGGATGGAGAAACAGGTAAAGGAATGGCCACCTCATCTGGCGGGACAGTCTGAGAAGGCACTGTCAAGCCCACAGATGAACTGGAATGCTCTTTAGAGATAAGGATGGGTTTATCCCTGAATGTACCTTTGTCACCTGATGTTTTTGACATGTAGTTGCTTTCGATGGAAGATGAGGACTTTTCGTCATATGACAGAGCAGCATTGAGGTCTATGTTACAGTGCTCTGAGGTTTCCACATTTTGGGAGACGGGATGGGTAATCAGCATATGTGTGTCATTACTATCATTGCTTATTGCTCCAAAGTTATTGGACTTTCTCATGCCACTAGTGTCGAGGTCAAGCTGAATATTTTGAAAAGATGATGATGCTTCAACAGTCTCAGCCTTGGCAAACTCTTCACCAAAATCATGCATTTTCTGGTCACAAGTATCCCCAGCACTGACAAGTACTTCACACCTCGTTGTATCAGTGCTTAGTTTACTGAGCAGTATTTTAGGGCCAATTTCTCTTTCCCAAAATGATTTAAAGTGGGAGAGTTTATCTGGAATTGTATCTACTCCCTCTGGCTCCTGTTGAGTTTGGTCTATTTCTTTTTTAAGCACTAGTTCTCTAACCTCTGGTGTCTCGTCGTTTTTAGCTGACTGTTTGTCAGTAGCACATTTATGCAGATCTTGCTGCTGGTCAGAATAAGTATTCACAGTGGATTGGCATTTGACGAAGTTCAGGATGGCATCGTCAAGCTCTTTCTGTTCAGAGAGGATCACCTCCTCTTTAACTGGGCTTTGCAGCTCAGGGATTCTCTCTTCTCTTGCTTCCCCTCTACTAAATATCCCTAGGAGCCCTCTCAGAGGCTTTGGAGACACATGATTAGATGGCTTCTTAGAGGCAGCATCACTTGGCATCTCATCTGTGATGACGTCGACAGGAGTCACTGGTTCATCACTGGGTTGTTGGGGGAGCTGTGCCTGTGGCTTGTTACTGCTTCCCAGGTCCCAGCTGAACCAGTCTCGGACCTTAACCACGGAGTGACCGTCCTCCTCTGTTATCTTGGTGGGGGAGAGCCCCTGGGCCGCAGCCCCTAAGACAATGGGCTTACCTGTCTCTTGCTCAGCACAATGGAGATCGGACACCTGAGGGGTAAGGTACTCAGCATGACGATGCTCAAGTTGATCTGTAAAGGAAATAAAAACAAATTGGATTGCTCATCACTTGTATTTGCTGTATTGCTGACATACAAATGTAGGATCTTAATTTGAGCCAGTTTGCTACAGCAGGAAAAGAATCCTGCACCAACAGGAAATGTGAATTATTATGTGGATTATAATGAATGGACATTTTTGTAGGGGTTGATACATTTTTCATTAGGGCAAATCAAGTCAGAAATGTTAAAGTGGAAATGACACATTTTGGAAGATTTTTTAAAAACTCAAATACACTACAAGCAGGAAAATTCTCAGCAACAAAAGAGCGAGCAAATTCAGATCATACATCTGTACAGAGCAATAAATAATCAAGCAAATTACTGAATTGAACTACACTACCGGTCATTAAAGTTTTTTTCTTTATTTGTACTATTTTCTACATTGTAGAATAATAGTAAAGACATCAAAACGATGAAATAACACATGAATCATGTAGTAACCAAAAAAGTGTTAAACAAATCAAAATATACAGTGGGGAAAAAAAGTATTTAGTCAGCCACCAATTGTGCAAGTTCTCCCACTTAAAAAGATGAGAGAGGCCTGTAATTGTCATCATAGGTACACGTCAACTATGACAGACAAATTGAGGGGAAAAAATCCAGAAAATCACATTGTAGGATTTTTTATGAATTTATTTGCAAATTATGGTGGAAAATAAGTATTTGGTCACCTACAAACAAGCAAGATTTCTGGCTCTCACAGACCTGTAACTTCTTCTTTAAGAGGCTCCTCTGTCCTCCACTCGTTACCTGTATTAATGGCACCTGTTTGAACTTGTTATCAGTATAAAAGACACCTGTCCACAACCTCAAACAGTCACACTCCAAACTCCACTATGGCCAAGACCAAAGAGCTGTCAAAGGACACCAGAAACAAAATTGTAGACCTGCACCAGGCTGGGAAGACTGAATCTGCAATAGGTAAGCAGCTTGGTTTGAAGAAATCAACTGTGGGAGCAATTATTAGGAAATGGAAGACATACAAGACCACTGATAATCTCCCTCGATCTGGGGCTCCACGCAAGATCTCATCCCGTGGGGTCAAAATGATCACAAGAACGGTGAGCAAAAATCCCAGAACCACACGGGGGGACCTAGTGAATGACCTGCAGAGAGCTGGGACCAAAGTAACAAAGCCTACCATCAGTAACACACTACGCCGCCAGGGACTCAAATCCTGCAGTGCCAGACGTGTCCCCCTGCTTAAGCCAGTACATGTCCAGGCCCGTCTGAAGTTTGCTAGAGTGCATTTGGATGATCCAGAAGAGGATTGGGAGAATGTCATATGGTCAGATGAAACCAAAATAGAACTTTTTGGTAAGAACTCAACTCGTCGTGTTTGGAGGACAAAGAATGCTGAGTTGCATCCAAAGAACACCATACCTACTGTGAAGCATGGGGGTGGAAACATCATGCTTTGGGGCTGTTTTTCTGCAAAGGGACCAGGACGACTGATCCGTGTAAAGGAAAGAATGAATGGGGCCATGTATCGTGAGATTTTGAGTGAAAACCTGAAACGTGGCTGGGTCTTTCAGCATGACAATGATCCCAAACACACCGCCCGGGCAACGAAGGAGTGGCTTCGTAAGAAGCATTTCAAGGTCCTGGAGTGGCCTAGCCAGTCTCCAGATCTCAACCCCATAGAAAATCTTTGGAGGGAGTTGAAAGTCCGTGTTGCCCAGCGACAGCCCCAAAACATCACTGCTCTAGAGGAGATCTGCATGGAGGAATGGGCCAAAATACCAGCAACAGTGTGTGAAAACCTTGTGAAGACTTACAGAAAACGTTTGACCTGTGTCATTGCCAACAAAGGGTATATAACAAAGTATTGAGAAACTTTTGTTATTGACCAAATACTTATTTTCCACCATAATTTGCAAATAAATTCATAAAAAATCCTACAATGTGATTTTCTGGAATTTCTTTTCTCATTTTGTCTGTCATAGTTGATGTGTACCTATGATGAAGATTACAGGCCTCTCTCATCTTTTTAAGTGGGAGAACTTGCACAATTGGTGGCTGACTAAATACTTTTTTTCCCCACTGTATTTCATATTTGAGATTCTTCAAATAGCCACCCTTTGCCTTGATGACAGCTTTGCACACTCTTGGCATTCTCTCAACCAGCTTCACCTGGAATGCTTTTCCAACAGTCTTGAAGGAGTTCCCACATATGCTGAGCACTTGTTGGCTGCTTTTCCTTCACTCTGCGGTCCAACTCATCCCAAACCATCTCAATTGGGTTGAGGTCGGGTGATTGTGGAGGCCAGGTCATCTGATGCAGCACTCCATCACTCTCCTTCTTGGTCGAATAGCCCTTACACAGCCTGGAGGTGTGTTGGGTCATTGTCCTGTTGAAAAACAAATGATAGTCCCACTAAGCCCAAACCAGATGGGATGGCGTATCGCTGCAGAATGCTGTGGTAGCCATGCTGGTTAAGTGTGCCTTGAATTCTAAATAAATCACAAACAGTGTCACCAGCAAAGCACCCCCACACCATAACACCTCCTCCTCCATGCTTTACGGTGGGAAATACACATGCGGAGATCATCCGTTCACCCACACCGCGTCTCACAAAGACACGGCGGTTGGAACCAAAAATCTCAAATTTGGACTCATCAGACCAAAGGACAGATTTCCACTGGTCTAATATCCATTGCTTGTGTTTCTTGGCCCAAGCAAGTCTCTTCTTCTTATTGGGCTGCAATTTCTGAGGCTGGTAACTTTAATGAACTTATCCTCTGCAGCAGAAGTATCTCTGGGTCTTCCATTCCTGTGGCGGTCCTCATGAGAGGCAGTTTCATCATAGCGCTTGATGGTTTTTGCGACTGCACTTGAAGAAACTTTCAGTTCTTGAAATGTTCCATATTGACTGACCTTTATGTCTTAAAGTAATGATGGATTGTCGTTTTTCTTTGCTTATTTGAGTTGTTCTTGCCATAATATGGACTTGGTCTTTTACCAAATAGAGATATCTTCTGTATACCACCCCTACCTTGTCACAACACAACTGATTGGCTCAAACGCATTAAGAAGGAAAGAAATTCCACAAATGAACTTTTAAGAAGGCACACCTGTTAATTGAAATGCATTCCAGGTGACTACCTCATGAAGCTGGTTGAGAGAATGCCAAGAGTGTGCAAAGCTATCATCAAGGCAAAGGGTGGCTATTTGAAGAATCTCAAATATAAAATATATTTTGATTTGTTTAACACTTTTTGGGTTACTACATGATTCCATATGTGTTATTTCATAGTTTTAATGTCTTCACTATTATTCTACAATGTTGAAAATAGTAAAAATAAAGAAAAACCCTTGAATGAGTAGGTGTTCTAAAACTTTTGACCGGTAGTGTATGTCATCTGCAAGTCAGTATAATGATGAATAATAGCATGTAATAGAATACAATTATTTGTAAAACATTAGACAACCACATAATTTCAAAGCCTGAATGCCCCCACCAATGAAAAAATGAGCACATTCCTTGCAGTCCAAATTCACCAATCACCATCAGCAAATATTACCATCATACAATAAATGAACGTGTACATTCATGTATGAAAGCAAGCAGGTTAGTGATTAAACAAACAGATTTTACAACAAAAATATGGTGAGTAGTTTATCTAGTTTGATTTCCTAAATTGATTGATTACAAACCTAAAATCATTCTCTACACTTGACTGATGTGTTGATTGTTGATTGACAGATTAATTTTATTAATTCATTCATCAAATAATTAAAATGGAGTTGCACTAGCCTTACCAGCAGGGACCTGGGCTGGGCCTGTGTCTAGGCATCTTATATCTGGCTTCTCTCTGCAACTCAGACCCTCACCTAAGTCCACCTGTCTCAGCGTATCATGAGTGGGCCGTTGCAGCCAGCAAGGTGAACCTACAGCTGTCAAAACCTCAATGTCTTCCTTTAGTGGTCCGCGATCACCCTGGACAATACCACTGTTGGTGCCACTTATGTCTAACTGCCCCGTCTCCTCCTCTCCCTCTGGGTGGCTTGTACAGTCCAAATCCAGGAGACTGTGTTCGCCCAGCTCCTTTCCATCCTGCATCTCAGTGGGCCACTCCACGCTGGTCCTGCTCACTGCTGGGCCGAATCTCACCTGTTTCCTGTCTATCCAGCCCAGGGGCTCTCTCTCTCTAGCAGGGAAGGTGTCTGAAGGTGGCTCTAAGACCCCGCTGGGGGAGTGCAGCGTTTGGGGGCTCTGTGGTTCTGGCTGGCGGCTGCAGGCGTTTCGGAACTGAAGAGAGTCAGTTGAGCTGCTTTGTTTGAGGATGCTCCTAGGGGCGGGAAAGCTGGCCTGTCTGGCTGCTGGGCTCTCCAAGAGAGAGTCCTGGGATTTGTTAATGATTGTTCTTGTTTTGGGCACAGGCATGAGCAGAGGTGCACTCTGGATGTTTTCCGAACTGATCGATTTTAGGTTAGTTAGATGAGCAATGCAGAACTCAGATGGTGGTAGAAACTCTGGGGGAAAGACAACGGGGGGTGGTGGATATAACATTGGGGCACAAAAGCAGGTGGATAAAGCAAGCATGATGTTACAATAAGTGATGACAATTACATCTTATAGTTAACACCACAAACATACAGTGGATCCCAATGTAGATGAAAATACATTAATTGGGTGGTGGGGCATCACATTGAATTTTTTGGTTGGAATGATGTGGAAACAACGTTGATTCAACCAGTTTTTGCCCAGTGTGTAGTTAGTGCCTAGTTCCTTGAAAAACATTGTTTTCAGATACACTAGGGGGAAACATTAAGAATCTCCAACACAGACAAGTCATGCACTGCAGCTTAGGGCTTTGGAGTCAGGGTACATGCCTTTATGCGTAATCCCTCTGCTACTCTGTATTTACATACCTCCCCCTTTGGCTCGCCTTCCTTCTGGGAAAAACCTGACTAGTTGCTAGATACTCATTGGCTCATTTCATGAAATGCAATTGTTTCAGAGCACATACTTTGAGAAATTGCCACACTGTTGTTGCACGTCTCGAAATTAAGGGCAACTGGCTCAAGCGCTGTAGTTACAAAACTGAAGTTTACCTAAATACTAGAGCATTAGTTATTATACAAGGCCAATACAGGTTAATCTATTAGCCAAACAATGAGAATGAACAATGGTAATCATTCTTGCATTCTGTTTTGGTAATTGGAATCTACATAATGGCTATAGGGAATTGTGTTTTCCTCTTCCCTTCTTATGCGAATGTTATGAAAGAAAGGTGGAAGAAATACCATACATATTATGTTCACGACATGACAAAAATACATGCTTATAACAATCATGCAACGAGAACATGCTAGCAATTTGTTTAAAAAGCAACCGAGAAATACCGAAAGCCCAGGAGAGGGTTTACACGCATGGCTTTCAATGGGGTCAGTTCACCAGACTTACGGTTGTTTGCAAGGAAAATGCTTTGACTGTTTGTCCATCTAGTTGTCCACTCCATTAAAAACACAACACATGGCGTGTTACAGTTGAATCATGAAGACTGAATTACTGTAGTAAACGTGCAAACTGCATGACGCCAAATAGAAACCGCTTGCATCTAGATGTTTCTAGATGTTTCTCTAAAATGGTGGTGTCTCGGCATAGGAACCATCAAAGAAAAGAATATGTCAGTGTTTGGTATGTATTTGAATGTTTTTGAATGTTCCGTGATATCGCTAACATAAGATTGCTAAAAACATAATTTACAGTAAGATTCATTGAAGTAACTAACTTCTCAGCTGTAAGGTTTCAGAAAAATGTCGGTGCAACATGCGGCATTGCATTAAGTCATGTTTATGACTACCTTACGTAGGCATTATGACAGAACATTCAAATGAAGTGTTATTACCGAATCCATATATTCACTTGATGTCCTTTTTCAGTTTATTCTTGGATACTAAAATGACAGCCACAGATAATGTACAGGTAAGGAGCTCACCCCCGTCAGGTGTCTTGGTTTGCTCCATTGCTTCATTGGGTAACTGGCTGTCTGTGTCCTCCAAAGTTTCAGGTGTAAGTGGTGTGCTGTTGAATGGGTTCTGTCTTTGCTTCAGTACAGTAAGAGGAAAACACAGGTTTGCATCAGCAATGGAACAGCAATCAGCAATGAAACGCCTATGTTGTCCACTTTTGTGTGGGTAAGAGGGCTGTGTGTGTGTGTGTGTGTGTGTGTGTGTGTGTGTGTGTGTGTGTGTGTGTGTGTGTGTGTGTGTGTGTGTGTGTGTGTGTGCGTGTGTGTGTGTGTGTGTGCTTGCATTACCATATACTTAGTTACTAAATAGTACATCAATAAATATTAACATTAATGTGAAATGAAGTGTTACAGTTACTTCAACCAACCTTTGTAGGGGACTGCAGAACTGATTTCAGCATGTCTTGTGGCTCTTCTGGCAGATTGTAGCTGTCATCCCTACGGTGAATACAGTTTTAAAATGTAGACATCATCCTTATTCTTCATCTTTTAAAGAATAACATACATTTGATTAAGGGATGGGATAATCATATTAATGTTTCATGTTTTTAAATTATCGCTCTAGCAATCATGTGGACAATTGGTAGATTATGCCTACAGTCGACCACATCAGTGCCACCACATCAGTTAAGTGCAGGTGCAATTCAAATGCATTATTTTAACTTGCTCTGCAAGCTTTGCATGCATTCATGAGTGCCCCAAGTATTGCATGTATCAACATTTACAAAAAACTCCAATGTTCACGTCTCAGATATTTTCACTGTAGGTAACTGACTGCAGTCCAGTTGTTTTCCTTGGTTTTAGAGTTTAATGGTACCACTCATTCACACAACATACAATCCTCAACAATGTATGAATGTGAAGTACCATGACTGTGGAAACCAAGGAAAACAAGAGCATGTGAGTTCTAACCTTAGAAGCAGATTACTGGGAACCAATGGGCCCTATTACTAAGTGTCTACTTAATGTCTGAATGACTCCTTCTTTAGCAATCATGCCCATATGATCTGGGCTAATGCTTGAGCCCATTTAAAGAAGAATGTGACAGCCTTACTAAACAGGGGCTGAGATTCTAGTTAGCTTACTTTTTGATGGTGAAGACAAGACATATACAGGAAGAGCGAAATCTCACAAACTGCTCTCATTTCTTATATTTGTCTGTTTGTTACCTGTTTAAAATGCAATAATTAAGAATCTCTCTATGGCATTGCACTACTTAGCACAAGTCGGTAAGTAATGCAAAGCAACAAAACGTCCCTTTAAGGTTTCGCAAAGCCCTAGGATTTTACATAACACCATGGACAAAAGCTTGTAGCATATTCTAGACTCATAGCCTACACGTTTGTACACAATGTTTGTTGCACTTACATTTACATTTTAGTCATTTAGCAGACGCTCTTATCCAGAGCGACTTACAGGTAGTGAGTGCATACATATATATATTTTTTTTTTCATACTTACCTGTGCATCCACTAATTGAGTTTGGCAGATATTTGTTTAAGAGGAAGCTTTTTTTTAAGTATGTGGTGTATTATATAACTTAACGGAAGTAATACAATTACACTGAAAATAAATGACAAATAATGTTTTCATGGTGTGTAACTATAGCTTGTTACCATACTATTATCTAGTTATTACCACTTTCATCCGTTCTGTAATGTAAAATGTTACCCAGAAACTTTATCAGGCTAAAGTGAACAATACTTGAAGCATCAGATTTGCTAAACTGCATGAGGCATATAGGACACGTGAAATCTACCATAAATGTTAAGTCACAAACATCAACGATTAAAACAACTAAGGCTGCACAATATGGGCAAAATATCTAATCGTGTTTTTTTTAACCAAATAATGCGATTGCAATTTGACTTGCGATATAGATTAAAAGACTTTGGTGAACTGTTGGAATAATAGAATTAGAATGATTTATATTAAGAAGAAAGTGGAAAGCGGCTTCATTCTTGATGGGAACAATCTGTTGACTGCGTTTGATCTAACAGAACAGCATGCAAATGTATGTATCTAACTTTGAATCTAACATCGAGGACAAGGAACTGCGGTGCTTGCTTGACAGGGGGAGGGGCTTGGTATGTGTGGGAAGCAGCTGCAACAGGAGAAAGGGAGAGAGACGACAGAGTAAACTATAAAAACGGACGTTACACGCGGCCCTAAAAACAACCATTGTTTCTAAAAACATGAACACAGTGGCAGTGGTGTAAAGTACTTAAGTAAAAATACTTGAAAGTACTACTTAAGGAGATTGTTTTGGGTATCTGTACTTTACTATTTATATTTTTGACAATTTTTACTTTTACTTCACTACATTCCTAAAGAAAACTATGTACTTTTTACTCCATACATTTTCCCTGACACCCAAAAGTACTTGTTACATTTTGAATGCTTAGCAGGACAGAAAATATTATAATTGACACACTTCTCAAGAGAACATCCCTGGTTGTCCCTATTGGCTCTGATCTGGCAGACTCACTAAACACATGCTTGGTTTGTAAATTATATCTGTGTGTTGGAACGTGCCCCTGGCTAGACGTACAGTGGGGAGAACAAGTATTTGATACACTGCCGATTTTGCAGGTTTTCCAACTTACAAAGCATGTAGAGGTCTGTAATTTTTATCATAGGTACACTTCAACTGTGAGAGAATCCAGAAAATCACATTGTATGATTTTTAAGTAATTCATTTGCATTTTATTGCATGACATAAGTATTTGATCACCTACCAACCAGTAAGAATTCCGGCTCTCACAGACCTGTTAGTTTTTCTTTAAGAAGCCCTCCTGTTCTCCACTCATTACCTGTATTAACTGCACCTGTTTGAACTTGTTACCTGTATAAAAGACACCTGTCCACACACTCAATCAAACAGACTCCAACCTCTCCACAATGGCCAAGACCAGAGAGCTGTGTAAGGAAATCAGGGATAAAATTGTAGACCTGCACAAGGCTGGGATGGGCTACAGGACAATAGGCAAGCAGCTTGGTGAGAAGGCAACAACTGTTGGCGCAATTACTAGAAAATGGTTCAAGATGACGGTCAATCACCCTCGGTCTGAGGCTCCATGCAAGATCTCACCTTGTGGGGCATAAATGATCATGAGGAAGGTGAGGGATCAGCCCAGAACTACACTGCAGGACCTGGTCAATGACCTGAAGAGAGCTGGGACCACAGTCTCAAAGAAAACCATTAGTAACACACTACGCCGTCATGGATTAAAATCCTGCAGCGCACGCAAGGTCCCCCTGCTCAAGCCAGCGCATGTCCAGGCCCGTCTGAAGTTTTCCAATGACCATCTGGATGATCCAGAGGAGGAATGGGAGAAGGTCATGTGGTCTGATGAGACAAAAATAGAGCTTTTTAGTCTAAACTCCACTCGCCGTGTTTGGAGAAAAAAGAAGGATGAGTACAACCCCAAGAACACCATCCCAACCGTGAAGCATGGAGGTGGAAACATCATTCTTTGGGGATGCTTTTCTGCAAAGGGGACAGGACGACTGCACCGTATTGAGGGGAGGATGGAGGGGGCCATGTATCGCGAGATCTTGGCCAACAACCTCCTTCCCTCAGTAAGAGCATTGAAGATGGGTCGTGACTGGGTCTTCCAGCATGACAACGACCCGAAACACACAGCCAGGGAAACTAAGGAGTGGCTCCGTAAGAAGCATCTCAAGGTCCTGGAGTGGCCTAGCCAGTCTACAGACCTGAACCCAATAGAAAATCTTTGGAGGGAGCTGAAAGTCCGTATTGCCCAGCGACAGCCCCGAAACCTGAAGGATCTGGAGAAGGTCTGTATGGAGGAGTGGGCCAAAATCCCTGCTGCAGTGTGTGCAAACCTGGTCAAGATCTACAGGAAACGTATGATCTCTGTAATTGCAAACAAAGGTTTCTGTACCAAATATTAAGTTCTGCTTTTCTGATGTATCAAATACTTATGTCATGCAATAAAATGCAAATTAATTACTTAAAAATCATACAATGTGATTTTCTGGATTTTTGTTTTAGATTCCGTCTCTCACAGTTGAAGTGTACCTATGATAAAAATTACAGACCTCTACATGCTTTGTAAGTAGGAGAACCTGCAAAATCGGCAATGTATCAAATACTTGTTCTCCCCACTGTAAATACATTTAAAAAAAGAAAATGGTGCCATCTGGTTTGCTTAATATAAGGAATTTGAAATGATTTATACTTTTACTTTTACTTTTGATACTTAAGTATATTTTAGCAATTACATTTACTTTTGATACTTAAGTATATTTCGAACCAAATACTTTTAGACTTTTACTCAAGTAGGATTTTACTGGGTGACTTTCACTTTTACTTGAGTTATTTTCTATTAAGGTATCTTTAGTTTTACTCAAGTATGACAATTGGGTACTTTTTCCAGCGCTGCACAACCGGTCCATATCATGGAACTCTCACCTGTAGTAGTTGTTGTGTTGTGCCTGTGGCTCCTCTAAAAGGCCTGAGAGTTCTGGAGGAACATACACATCCTGGTTCTCACTGTTCACGAAGCTGGGCTTCTCTGCCCACATCTGGGAGAGCTCCACTACAACACAGAACACATGGGATACAGGCCTCAGTAAAACCACTGACAAACCAGATGAAGACACATACTGTATGTCTGTGTCACAGGTGGGATCTGAACCCCAATCTACTGCTCGGGAAACCAACCATTAGGCCAAGAGGAAATTCACCTTTGGGCCGAGGGTGACACTGATTTTGAAGTTGCAGGTAACATTTCTGGGTAGCATCACGAGAGCGTGAGTCCAACTCACCTCCACTCTGTATGTCACAATACATCTAACAACCATCCCTATCATGATGTGAAGGATGGAATGAGCATTCCTAATGGACAAACTTTGGTACAACAGCCTCTTTGTGTCCTGAACGTGACCCAGCTATAGAAAATTGGAAGATTCATGCTATTCCAGAGAGCAAAAATGCCTGCACATGATAGATGGGTACATGAAGAATAAAAGGCATTATCTAATTCTCCTTTTGTGTTCTTGTTTCAGAGTCAACTGTTCATATCAATGTTCACCAATGTAATATCCACCAAACAATATTTGAACAAATTAAATGCCTAGGAATAGAGTTACTGTACATTTAAAGAGAATTTGTGGGGAATTTCTGCAACGCAGCATTTAGTCATAAAAATCTGTAATGGTCTCTGTAAGATTCAACGACTGTCTAAAGTTGCATAGCTTGACACGGCTATAACTCACATATGGTCACAGGTTTCCTCCGACTTATGGATGCTCTGATGATGTCAGAACCATGGATCCTGTCTCTGTGACGCCTTGACTTGGTCTCATAGAACCACTCTCCAGTCAAGTACTTCAGCTTGCCCTTGTCACGTTCTTGCTTTTGTAGATTCCTAAGTGGAGAGAGGGTAAAAGTTCAAAATATGGTCACTTAACAATGGAAAACCAGTAATGGTGGCCAGGCAGAGGCAATACAATGAGTTGATGACAGATTATGTCAGAACCTGGAAAACCTCATTGAGTTTCCTGCTAGCAGGGGCATTTACAGTAACATAAGCAAATGTGATAGATTGTTTTTATGAAGGTGCATGCAGTGGTTATGAATCTGTGATGTAATCCTTGTTATGAGTCCCATGTATTACAGTTGTTTCACATGATTGCAACAACACCTTGTCAACATTTCTTATGAACAAAACACAGTGCAATCAAGCACACGTTTGAACTCATGTTGTCTAAGTGTGTGTGTGTGTGTGTGAGAAAGAGAGAAAGAAAGCGAGAGAGAGTGTGTGTGTGTAATATTCAAACCATTTTTATGTAGCATTAGTTGAGCAAAAGTAGTAGAAGGTACACCAAGTAAGTTTTTAAATAAATACAAAAGCAGTTTGAATTCCATCACAACCTTGTGTTTTTATTGTTTATGAGGCTCTTCACATATCTCAGTAGTGGGATTTTATTTTAAAATACCTTTGTAGTCAACCCAAACCGATGTTTTGATTATGAAACAAACTAAGGTAAAGGAATAAGGAAACAGGCATATCTATTAAAGACATGCTCCGGAACTTTGGTGACTAATAAGTCTTTTTTGGGCTGGATGTGTCAATGTGTAGTTCATACATGCATAATCTATGAGCAGAATTATTGTCTTACCTCAATTAGCCACGAAATCCCTAGTTTGAAAGCAACTGTTTTTCTGGAAGCTGTTCTGAGCCATTTTCCCTAAATTTTCCCCCACATGGGCCAGCCCCCTAGCAATTTGAGTTCTAGCCAATGAGCTTCATCCCCTCGCCATTTGATTGACAGCTAGCAAGATGCACACACAGCAGAGCGAGAGAGAGAGCAATCACGTGGTGCACATATCTGCACATATCTGCACATATGTGAGGTAGTACGCAATTTTCGGGGACCACTTTTGGCTTGTGAGCGCTACTTTCAGAACTACTGGCTAAAAAGTATACAAAAGTACCGGAGAATCTATTTAATATCTTGGAGTTTCCCCACACTGCTGTAATACTTTTCTTTAACCCTACCACTGTATTCCAGGGCGTGTCCTCAGGGCATGTGCAGACCATCTTCACAGACATGATCAACCTCTCCTTGTCCCAGTCTGTAATCCACACGTTTCAAGCTGACTATCATCATTCCTTTTCCCAAAAACTCTTAAGGCATCCTGCCACAATGACTACCGCCCTGAAGCACTCACATCTGTAATAATGAAGTGCTTTGAAAGGCTGGCACACATCAACTCTATCATCTCAGACACTCTGGACCCAATCCAATTTGCACACTGCCCCAACTGATCCACAGACAACGCAATCTCAACTCTAAGGCATCCTGTGAACTCACTTCACACGCTGTTCCTCAGCCTTCTTCAGATCGGCGTCCCTCTTTAATACGGACAGGATCATCTCCTGCTCCTCCTCCGTCAGGTAACTCAGGTCAATCATGGTTTCAAGCCCACCCTGCAGGTCTTATCTCTTCTCAGAAAACAAAATGGTTGCCAACTCCACTCAAAGCCACTGTTCAGGGTGAGTCTGTGATGGTGATGGTTCTCGCTAGTTTGGGTCAGTGGCTTGGTGGAGAATCCAGGTGTGGTTATGGATATGGATTAATGGAATTCCAGCAGCCCCTGGTACAGAGGTCCTTGAAGTCCACGTGTGGGTTAGTGGAGGTGGCTTACGTGCTAAAGTCCAGGTGTCAGTTGAGTTTCCAAAGGCTCATATGCAGTGGGTGGATGGGTGGGTAAGGGGAGCAGGTGGGTGTTTGACAGACCTCCGTCTCAATCTCAGTATTACTGATTCACTTTTTGCACTGTCCTTGCTGAAGGGAAAGGTATTGCCAGGTTTGTATGGATGCGGTAGGGTTAACTTGGTGCAGCTGCTCGTATATATGTGGTGGTGGTCTGGCAGGGATCCATCGTCAGCACCTGCAAAACACAACAAAACACAATATAAGAGTCTAATTTAAAATAATCAATAATAATAGTACTGCTCAGAGTTGTTAGACTGACACTAAAACATACAGGCCAAGACCTGCATCTTCTTACATATTCTCTAAACACTTTCATTATCCTTTATCGAAAACATGTTTCTCTCTAATAGCTTTTTATTTCAGAGCCTTTTCATCAAGTGTTCAAATGTAATCATTTCCCATGATTGGGGAAGCAGGCAGGATGCCATTTTTCCATATCAACCTCACGAGTCAGAGTGAGTCGTTGTGATTATAGGAGACATGTGATACGGTATTGTCAGCTGACTGAGAGAATGTGGCGATTTTTAGTGGATCCCCTTAGAGAAAGCCCTAGTTGTCCTAAAATTGAATTAATCTTAACTCAAATTAGGCACCAGTTTAGGATTTGAATCGATATGGAAAGGCTATTTTATTTTCCTACAATCCGTTTTTTGTTTCAGTTACGGTTGAAGTTATAGTATGAGTAAACGGTTCAAATGATGAAGAATGTTTGGGTGAACTTCGAACTGTGTTATAACTGGAGCTGATGTATGAGGAGACAGTGAGATGGCGCTGGAATGGATAGCTGCCGTTTTACGGAGTATCCTCAATGAAATGTGACTATCGGGGAGGACACTCTTCTGTTCGCCTACTAACGAATTGACATCTCCTCGACCACTTGACCACTTATCGGTTTCCGGGTCACGGAGGAGAACGGACGGAAGAGAGAGCACAACATTACTGAACGTCGTCACTTCCTGTTGAACACAGAATGAGGTTTGTTGTTTTGAAAGTCTCTGAAAACGTTTTGTTACTAGCTAGCTACCTTTTGAGTTTGGATCCCGCGACGGGGTTAGCATCCGTTGCTGGGACCGCTGCTATCTGTCCAGGGATCCTGCTGACCAAGGGTCTGATGAGCTGCTTGGTGTAGCAGCTAGCTTAGCTGCCACTGTTAGCTGCCTATCAAGCTAGCAAGGTTTCCTTGAGGGCTTGAACGCAGCCCTCGCGGTTAGCCCTTCTGGCTGGAACCACGGATTGTCCCGGGCTTGTGACTGTCTAGATCCCTGCTGTTTGTTTCTATTTCCATCTTCACTGCAACCTGCCCTGCCTGGAACTGCCAGGACTAACAGCGTTAGCCTACGTTGCTACCATGACAAAGACCAAAGCCGGTGGGAGTACTGTTGAAGATAGTGGTGTCTCTCTATCACAGGTGAAGGATATTTTAAACAAACAAAAATAGTTCTACAAGCAGTTCTTACAACAACTAGAAAATAGCTTCAAGTGTTGTGTCCAAATACTGGTGGAGTCATCAAATAAAATAACGGACAACCAAACCAGAGATGTCCAGGACCTGAAGAACAGTTTGCAGTTCTCTCAGGGTCAGCTCAATGAGTTTAAACAGGAAAACGGCAAAATGACAGCAATCTGTAAGTTCTTGAGAGAGGACATCAGTTCTGTATGTGAATCCATGATAACAATGACAGAGAAATCAGATTATCTCGAGGGACAATCAAGGCGGAACAACACTGTTGTGGACGGAATTGCAGAATCTCCACATGAGACCTGGACAGAGTCTGAGGACAAAGTGAGGGAAATGATCTTGGAGAAACTGAAGATGGACCACAGGAAGATTGAGGTGGAGCACGCCCACAGGACTGGAAAACCCACCCCCGGCCCAGGTAACAGCCCCAAGCCGATAGTGGTCAAGTTCCTGAGGTTCAGGGACAAGGTAGCTGTTCTGGAAAGAGCAAAGAACTTGAGAGGAATGTACATCTTCCTCAACGAGGTCTATCCTGAAGCTGTGCGCCAGAAGAGAAAATGACTTATCCCGGCCATGAACGCTCCCAGAGTGTGTGGGGACATTGCTTACATCCGCTATGACAGGCTCATTGTCCACCCTCCCTCCCAAAAGCCTGGAAGGGTTGAGCGAGCCAAGCCTATGGGTTCGTAGCTTCAACCCCGCAGCACACACACACACTTAAACACACCAACTGGTTAATGGACTGCTGAATGTTTATAAATTTTTTCTCTTCCTCTTTTCCATATTATGTCTGTCTCTGAGACAACTACCCAGGAAATGGCTGAAACTAAGCCATATTAATATATGTAGCCTTAGAAATAAGGTTAATGAAATCAATAACTTGCTAACATCAGATAATATTAATATATTAGCCATTTCTGAGACTCACTTGGATAATTCCTTTGATGATACAGCAGTAGCAATACAAGGATATAACACCTATAGAAGAGACAGAAATTCTTATGGGGGAGGTGTTGCTACAGTGGGGAACAAAAAGTATTTAGTCAGCCACCAATTGTGCAAGTTCTCCCACTTAAAAAGATGAGAGAGGCCTGTAATTTTCATCATAGGTACACGTCAACTATGACAGACAAAATGAGAAAAAAAATCCAGAAAATCACATTGTAGGATTTTTAATGAATTTATTTGCAAATTATGGTGGAAAATAAGTATTTGGTCAATAACAAAAGTTTCTCAATACTTTGTTATATACCCTTTGTTGGCAATGACACAGGTCAAACGTTTTCTGTAAGTCTTCACAAGATTTTCACACACTGTTGCTGGTATTTTGGCCCATTCCTCCATGCAGATCTCCTCTAGAGCAGTGATGTTTTGGGGCTGTCGCTGGGCAACACGGACTTTCAACTCCCTCCAAAGATTTTCTATGGGGTTGAGATCTGGAGACTGGCTAGGCCACTCCAGGACCTTGAAATGCTTCTTACGAAGCCACTCCTTCGTTGCCCGGGCGGTGTGTTTGGGATCATTGTCATGCTGAAAGACCCAGCCACGTTTCATCTTCAATGTTCTTGCTGATGGAAGGAGGTTTTCACTCAAAATCTCACGATACATGGCCCCATTCATTCTTTCCTTTACACGGATCAGTCGTCCTGGTCCCTTTGCAGAAAAACAGCCCCAAAGCATGATGTTTCCACCCCCATGCTTCACAGTAGGTATGGTGTTCTTTGGATGCAACTCAGCATTCTTTGTCCTCCAAACACGACGAGTTGAGTTTTTACCCAAAAGTTCTATTTTGGTTTCATCTGACATTCTCCCAATCCTCTTCTGGATCATCCAAATGCACTCTAGCAAACTTCAGACGGGCCTGGTCATGTACTGGCTTAAGCAGGGGGACACGTCTGGCACTGCAGGATTTGAGTCCCTGGCGGCGTAGTGTGTTACTGATGGTAGGCTTTGTTACTTTGGTCCCAGCTCTCTGCAGGTCATTCACTAGGTCCCCCCGTGTGGTTCTGGGATTTTTGCTCACCGTTCTTGTGATCATTTTGACCCCACGGGGTGAGATCTTGCGTGGAGCCCCAGATCGAGGGAGATTATCAGTGGTCTTGTATGTCTTCCATTTCCTAATAATTGCTCCCACAGTTGATTTCTTCAAACCAAGCTGCTTACCTATTGCAGATTCAGTCTTCCCAGCCTGGTGCAGGTCTACAATTTTGTTTCTGGTGTCCTTTGACAGCTCTTTGGTCTTGGCCATAGTGGAGTTTGGAGTGTGACTGTTTGAGGTTGTGGACAGGTGTCTTTTATACTGATAACAAGTTCAAACAGGTGCCATTAATACAGGTAACGAGTGGAGGACAGAGGAGCCTCTTAAAGAAGAAGTTACAGGTCTGTGAGAGCCAAAAATCTTGCTTGTTTGTAGGTGACCAAATACTTATTTTCCACCATAATTTGCAAATAAATTCATTAAAAATCCTACAATGTGATTTTCTGGATTTTTTTTCCTCAGTTTGTCTGTCATAGTTGACGTGTACCTATGACGAAAATTACAGGCCTCTCTCATCTTTTTAAGTGGGAGAACTTGCACAATTGGTGGCTGACTAAATACTTTTTTCCCCCCACTGTGTGTGTATATATATATATATATATATATATATATATATATATATATATATATATATATATATATATATATATATATATATATATATTCAGAGCCATATCACTGTAATGCTTAGAGAAGATCTCATGTCAAGTGTTATTGAAGTGCTGTGGTTGCAGGTTCTTATTCTTTTGGAGTGTTGCTATAGGCCACCAAGTGCAAACAGTCAGTATCTAAATAATGTGTGTGAAATGCTTCATAGTGTATGTAATGTAAACAGAGAGGCCTGCTTTCTTGGGGACCTGACTATTGACTGGTTTTCATCAAGCTGTCCGCTCAAGAGGAGGCTCCTCACTGTAACTATTGCCTGTAATCTGGTTCTGGTTATTAATCAACCTACAAGGGTTTTTAGAGTGGCTATATTCAGGAAAGCCACATTTCCAAATGCTGGGCCTAAAATAGTGAATAAGAGATAATACAAAATATTTTGCTGTGACTCTTATGTGGATGATGTTAAAATTATTTGTTGGTCTAATGTGATTAATAAGGAGCATCCAGATGCTGCACTTGATGAATTTATGAAATTGTTTCTTCCAATTATTGATTAACATGGACCTGTTAAAAAACTGACTGTTAGAATTGTT